AGCAGATGTTCCCGCTGTTAAGGACCCAACCTATAAGCAGCTGGAAAGCCTTTCCTGAATTCTGTTCTCGCTGGCAGGTTTTGCGCTGCACGCGGTTCTGGTTGAGGTTTTATTTGACTGCTGTAGTTGATCTCTTATCATTGGATGCACGGAGCACATGAAACGTCAGCCATGATGACTTATTGGAAGACTCTTGTCTCCTTTCTCACATGAATCGCCTGTTGGTGTGTATGTGTCGGGTTCTTTACCTAAAGTGCTGGATTGCAAGACTGACATGTAAAAAGCATTTGATCCTCATGGCCTTCAAGAGACAGCTGCTCTTTAGACGAGTACTAGATATTCTCACCAAGGATGTTATTGATGGCAGGAGCACCCATCTTCCCCTGCGGCAGGAGCACCCATCTTCCCCTGCGGCAGGAGCACCCATCTTCCCCTGCGGCAGGAGCACCCATCTTCCCCTACGGCAGGAGCACCCATCTTCCCCTGCGGCAGGAGCACCCATCTTCCCCTGCGGCAGGAGCACCCATCTTCCCCCTGCGGCAGGAGCACCCATCTTCCCCCTGCGGCAGGAGCACCCATCTTCCCCCTGCGGCAGGAGCACCCATCTTCCCCCTGCGGCAGGAGCACCCATCTTCCCCCTGCGGCAGGAGCACCCATCTTCCCCCTGCGGCAGGAGCACCCATCTTCCCCCTGCGGCAGGAGCACCCATCTTCCCCCTGCGGCAGGAGCACCCATCTTCCCCCTGCGGCAGGAGCACCCATCTTCCCCCTGCGGCAGGAGCACCCATCTTCCCCCTGCGGCAGGAGCACCCATCTTCCCCCTGCAGAAGGAACCGAAGGCGCAGACTGCGAAGTCATCTCTCTCGCTCTCTGAGTGTCAACATCAAGAAGTGACCAGGGGCAGACTGACCATTTGGAAACTCGGGCACTGCCCGAGGGCCCGGGGTCAGTAGGGGGCCCCATGAGAAGCCCCTGGTACCTTTTTCATAGGCTTTTTTGAGTTTGGGCAAGGACACAGGGGCCCCATGATCCCCTATTGCCCGGGGGCCCCATGAGATGTCAGTCCACCCCTGGAAGTGACCCTTTAGTTTCTCCACTCCTTTTGACGTTGGGGGGCCCACCTGAAAAGTCTGCTAGTCAAATCTGCCGCGTTCTCAGACAAAACAAAAAGAATTATGTTTGGAAAGAGAGAGTATGCAGCAGACTGTTACTTACCTGCAGGCAATTGAGAAGATTTCGCTAGTTGTGAGGATTGTTTGAAACAATGGGGTTTATTTACTAAAGCTGGAGAGTGCAAAATCAGACTCCCTTCTGCATAGAAACCAATCAGCTTCCAGGTTTCATTGCCAAAGCTTCATTGAACAAGCTGAGGTTAGAAGCTGATTGGTTTCTATGCAGAAGGGAGTCTGATTTTGGACTCTCCAGCTTTAGTAAATAAACCCCCATGTGTCTGATGTTGATACAATGTATCTTTTGCAGTAAGTACAATTCCACTAAAATGTGGGCTTTATAAGAAAACAGAAAAACACATAAGAGAACTTTAGCCTGAAGGCTGCGGGCAGCTCCTAATTAAAGAGTAACTACTGGCTGTATGAGGCTGCCTCCTTAATCAGGCTGGGGACCCAATGGCTGCACATAGAAGAGGGGAACAGAGAAATGGGCACCAAACAGGCCGTAGTGTAGTATAACAATTTATTGGAGTAAATATAAACCTAAATAAGTTGTACTCACAAGCAAAAATGAAATAAAAGCGTATATTAGTGGCAGGTGTCCAACCTCAAGGAAGGGGGCGTGTCAGCCTTCAAACCGCGTTTCCTGATGGTCCCAGCTGATCCAAATCTACATCTGCTTGGATGCTTGAAGTCTTTTTTTTCATATTTGCTTGTGACTACAACTTACTCAGGTTTATTTTTGCTTTAAAAATTGTTATACTACACTATGGTCTGTTTAGCACCCCCCCACCTTCCCCTAGTTCTCAGACAAGCCTTGCTCTACCTGATGGTGGTTCCCCTTTTTTCCAGAGTGGGAGGACATCTATTGACCGTTGTGGCCACTTTGACATCTTGCCTTCCAGATGGTTGGACACAGGTTGTGATGTCCCTGGGCTACAAACTTGAGTTCCGTTCCATGCCCTCTCCTCCCTTCAAACCTTCTTATGTTTCCTCACAGACTGACAGATCTCCATCAGGCTTTTTCTGGCCGCCTACAGAATGGTTCCTGTTCCTCCTACGGAATGGTTCCAGGGGTTTTATTCCAACTTAAAGGGGGCATTCGTCCCATTTTAAACTTCAAAGCCTTGAGTGTTTTGTATTTGGGTCCACAAATTATAGATTGAATGCACTAGATCTGTCATTACCGACCATTATTCGGGATGCTCTCTGGCTTTTGTGGACATCAAAGTTGCTTACTTGTATGTCCTCATCTTTTCAGCACTCCAATGTTTCTGTTGGTGTGCTGTAGAGCCACAATATTACCAGAGATCGCAGCCTTGCCATTTGGCTTATCGTCAGCAACTTGAGTGTCCAATAAAATGTTGGTTCTAGTGTGGGCCTGTGTGCTCTTTCTTTGAGCATCGTTGTTTGATTCTGGACATGTCTAAAGGCCTGGCTTGGCAGTTCAAGTATCTGGCTTTCGAGTCAGAAAATTCCTTTCTTCCTGTATTTTGGATAATTATCATAGCATAGTGGGTCTCTGGCATCTTGTTGGTGCAGGGAACCTGGTCATTGGGGGAATTTTGTCTCCTGGTAAACCTCCTTGAAGCTTTCAAAATTTGGCTTTTGTTTTATACTTGGCTCAGCCTGTTGGAGGACCATGTGATCCGGTTTCAGTCTATATAAACCATCAGGGAAGATCCAGAATTCTCATTAGAAATGAAGAGTGAATACTGTCCTGGGCAGAACTTCATGTTCCAGCCTTGATAGCCATATAAATTCCAGGCTGTAGACCACGGTTTCTCAACCAGGGTTCCTCCAGAGGTTGCTAGGGGTTCCTTGAGCAATGAGTAGTTTCTGGCTCTAAGAAAAGTTCCCACTGACACCATTTGATCCACAAATGTAAGGAGCATTCTTCTCACTGACCATCACACCACTGTATCATGTGTTGTAGATATAGTCATTTTTTAGCCGGGGTTCCCTGAAACTGGGAAGTGATTGTAAGGGTTCCTCTGTGTTTAAAAGTTGAGAGAGGCTGCTGTTGACAGGCAGATTTTCTCAGCTGACAGCAACTGGACCCAAAGAATGGCTTCAATGACTGTGGTGTTCCAGGACCGGTGTCACAAATTGGGGACACTGAATGTGGACCTTTTAGGTTTTGCAGCCAACTGGACAGATTTTTATTCAAATACAGGGATCCAGTGGCAGAAGCAGTGGATTCTCTGGTTGCTCTGTAGGCTTAGTGACGTATTCCTTTTCTCCCCTGAAACTGCTTCCTTGTCTGCTCTTCAAGATTGAGATGTGGGCATTCCAGTGATTCTTGTTGCTCTGGAGTGGCCTAGAATGGAGATTGTGAAATCATCTCTCCTTTCACGCCACCTTGTCCAATCAGAGAACGCCTTTTATTTATAGAAAAATACAAGGCTTTCTCTGAATGGCAGCGGTGCCAAGCAAGCAACTCCCTGTCTCCAGGTTATAGAGGGGAAGCCACTGAAGCAGAATACTGCAGGGATTTTCAGCATCCCCAGTGGCCTTAAAAGAGAAGTGTGGCCTTTTTATTTTCCCTGTTTATACTTCCTAGGTGGATGCAGCATCAGTCTGATCGGTCCCCCACCAGCTCTAAGGATGAGCGCTCAGCAGTCACATGACCACTGATTGCGGAGTTCTCACAGCCGCTCTGAGCAGAGAGTGCTGACTGTCACCGCTGTCTGCTCTGCCCCCCAGTGCTCTCTGGAGTGTTGGGCTGTGGAGGGGGAAGGGCCAGCTGGCTCAGGCTCTCAGGAGCTTGCTGAGACGCTGAGTTAGGTTCCATTCTAGGCTCTGGAGGGGATCCTGACTTTGAAGTCGAGATCTTTCCCCAGCCTGGACCAGCTGAGTGATGTCAGCCAACAGTGGACTTCAGCCCGCTGTCAACTGAAAACGGGTCACAGGAGTGCAGAACAAACTGCACTCCTATGATCCACAGAAATACAGCCAAAAGAGCTTTGCCTGTACTTCTCCTTGTAAGGATATCAGAAATGGATATTTACATCAAGCCAAGTTGGACCAATGTAAAGATGGAAAAAAGTTAATTCCTGGCATTCCACTATAAACTACATGTCCATATAGGAATACTTTGTCCTCAGGGTGCCAACACCTCTGTGAAATTGGTTAACAGGTAATAAAGCTGTTACTAAGGGGACGCCGAAAAACAAAAACTGCAGTAATAATGCTTGGGACAGACTGCACCATATATGCCATTTTTTTTTTCAAATAGTTACAACTTGCGCTCCGACCTTCTCTGACGTAATGGCTAAACTTCCATGTGAGACTGTCCAAGTGGCCAGTAGAGGCCCTGTAGTTTGAAGCTAAGCCATCGAGTCAGAGAAAGTCAAACAACAAGTAAAACCGAATCAGAGAGGAGCATAGAATAGTCTCTGCTGACAACTAAACGTAAATGTCATAATTGTCCTGACATATAATATCAAAACCTGCCCTCAGTTATTGATTAGTTGGTCTGTAAGTATCATGAATAATGTCCCGTGTAGGAAAGCCCTCATTTCTTGCAGCTGTATTTGTGTGAATGTTTATTTAAAATTGAATATATAAGTCATCTTTTTTTCTTTTCTCTGACAGGTCTACCAATAACCGTCCACAAAAACTGCCTGAATGGGCAGCAATAACCTGCCCTGTTGCCACATCAGTGCACTGACTGTACTAGGTCTTTGTGATTTAATCGCTGTTAGTAGTGAGATGCATGGAACAAACACTGTGATGTGACACAATCTGCTATGTCATACTATGCGGCTGATTTGTTGAAGTACTTGGGCGCTAATTAATAAGACTGGACTTGAAAGCTCTTCAGTTTATCATGGATCAAGCCATGATGGAGAATCCTGTCACATTGGTGATCAAAGCTCCAAATCAGAAATATGATGACCAAACCATTAATTGCTTCCTAGACTGGACAGTAGAAAAACTAAAGACGCATCTCTCAAAGGTTTATCCCAGCAAACCGGTGAGTAGTGAGCAGTGATTTCTTTTTTTGTTTACAAACGATTTTATTGAAAAAAAAGGTAGACAATAAAATAACAACACATTTTCAGATTATATGGATAGAAAAAACAAGGCACTTATGAAAAGTACAATTCAGAAAAGTCTATTGTAGTAAGAAAGAGAAGAAACAGAAAAAAAGTAGATTGCAAGTACATGAGATACGTTAGTGATGAGATAGGTTGACTGAGACATCCGTCAACTATATTTGACAGTAACTGTTCACTGGAAACATTGTTAATCATGCAATAAATGTCTATAATCCCTCCATGATTCCCATTTTTTATCAAATAAGTGCATCTTATCCAGCAGAGTATAATGAATGCGTTCCATGAGCATTACAGCATCAATTCTGTGTAAAATGGAGGCCAAAGGCACAGCATTGGACCTCCAATGTAAGGCAATAGACCATAAAGTGGCAATACACATAGTATGTATCAATCTCATAATGGCATCTGGGACCCTTGGGATGTGAGCCCCCAATAGACAGGTCTGTATAGAAAAGCGTACTGGGGTACCCGCCAGTGAGGTAGCCACCTCGGATATCCTGTACCAAATCAATGAAATGGACGGGCAGTCCCAAAATATATGCACCAAAGTGCCTGTAAGGCCACAGCCCCGAAAACATAGAGGGGACGTTTGTGGGAACAATCTATGTAGTCTCGATGGGGTATAATACCATCTAGTTAAAACTTTAAGGGCCGTCTCACAAACAGAAAGAGATCGAGAACTTTTACATATATTATCCACCATGGAATCCCAATCCTCATCCGAAAAAGTGGTGCCACTATCCTCCACCCACCGTTGTCGGTATAAAGGAGGCGTATGAAAAAGACAAAGCAAAGATTGGTGATAAAAGTTAGAAATAAGGCCCCTTCCCCTAGGGCAGTCACGGCTGGTACGTTCAAAAAAAGAAACCGGAGAAGATGGTATAAGGCCAAAATGTAATTCAAAAAAGTGTCTAATCTGTCGGTAACGAAGGTATTCACGAAGGGGAACATCAAAAAGCGTGCGCAGCATATCAAAGGTAATATAGGATCCTCCTCTTTGAAAATCAGATAATCTGATAAGAGATTGATCATACCACCAACGAAAGTGAGCAGAGGGATTTCAAAGTTATTAGGAGAATTAGGGCTTGGTTACACAGGTACTGACACCTTGTACAATCAGTCCTTCAGGGACATGGAAAACCTTGTAGCCTCCAAAGCCGGCTATACACGGGTCGAATTCTGAAAGAATTTTCTTTAGAAAATCTTTTCTAAGAATTTTCGTTTGAATTTCACACCATTAGTGGGTCACAGAAAACAGCTGATTTTTGTGTGACCGTTGTGTGATCGGCATGTTTGAATTTTTTTTTAAAACAAATGAATTTTGAATCGATGATGGGAGAATCATGCAAGAGATAGAAACAAGCATGAGCTGTGACCTGGAAAGAAAAGAAAATTCTTTGCCACAAACATTCTTTTCTGTAGCAATACTAGAATTTCGAAATCAATGGTGGCGCCATCGGATTACAAAATGCACAAAATTTCCGATTTTCTAAAGAAAATTATTTTCGAATTTGACCCGTGTATGGCCTGCATTAGGCAGATGCAGATAGCTTGTAGTGATTGGTAAAGTGCATATTTTGGCTGGGCACAGATGGGAAATGTAAAAAAATGAAATGTACTAAGAAAAATTAAAGCCAGTTTGACTGATTTTAACCCGTTCCTGGCAGCTCTTTCAGTGGACGTTCTTGCTGGTAAGAGGAGCGGCTTCCCCATCATGTGACCAGTGTGCTTCGCTCCCACATCAGTCACATGATATCAGGAGCCTCTCACTGGCTCTCAGCACACAAACTCAAACCTCCAAATATGTATTTTGGTGCCAGCTGGGTCAGCCCACTTTTTCTGTCACTGTATATATGCAAAGACTGTAGTAGGTGCTCCGTGACTTGTGAGATGAGGGCCAGGATCTGGTCAGGTGATGCACTTACCAGAGATACATATAATATGAGCATTATATGTATAATCCTAATGATGAAGACATCGTGGTTTGGTCAGCGGCTGGGGTGTCATCAGGTGACACACAGGATGGAATCTGGCACTCGGGGTCACACTCCGCTCATCGACAAATCACACAGCCTAGGATACTGGCTCCACACTCCCAAAAGGGCTCCACCCTGTGAGGCTCGCAGTAAGCAAGCCAGGACAAACAATGGTGCAAATAGTGTAGTACCGTTTTTATTAAATTGTATAACAAATCCAAAGTAGAAGATCTAACTCACATAAAGGTCAAATAAGTGGCCTTCCTGGTGGCCATGTACAGCTAGGCGTCAAAACTGGGGGGCTCCCCCTGACGCGTTTCGTGCAAACCTTTCTAATATCACCATGGGACTCTTATCACGTTGTTATATATAGACATAATATCGCTTGTTCCTATTTTCACTGCCTTTTTGTCATGCTGTACACCTTTAGCGCTGCATATCTATATATTTGATTCCTCTGAGGTGTTGAGGTTTGCCTTTTATGCTCGCTGCTTTTATAAGATCAATACGTGATTGCGCTCACATTTACTCTTTATACCACTGTATATATGTGTTACATGGTCAGGAAGATGTTCGATTCGGTCCACCTGAACTTTTTTTTGGTTGGCAGTTGCTGGAGAAATCTCCTGGTGCCCCTTATAACTCTCAGAGATTTCACTTCACTGTAGTCTCCATGAGTCTGCAAGCCTGCTATGGCCACTGAAACGGGAGGTTCCTTCTCTCCTTGAAGGTTCCTTCTCTCCTTGAAGAAAGACCTTTTTAATATATTATTTTGATAAAGAACATAACTGATAGTGCTGAAGGGCGGGCACCACATGGTGACTACATTGGCCTGTTTCAGTCTTCAAATCAACCAGTTCACATGCTCAGTTGTAGCTATTGAATCCTAGACTCAGGTTGTTCATACATTTTGCCTAAGTCACTATTAAAAGTAAACCTGAACCCCATTTTAAACCATCCAAATCTTCACACAATACTTACAATTACCTATGTTAGAAAGAAAGGCCTCTTATGCATCCCTTTCTGATTTGATCTGGTCATACTCTGCAAGATTTCCTTCTCTCGGTCTGTGTAGTAATTTTGCACTGTTTGACTATTGATTCCTCTCTACATGCAGGACAGCATGGATAGAGGAATCTTCCGTGTCTGCTATTGTATTTTGACAATCAGCACCCACAGTGGTCTGAATACAGGAACACTGACTGCTTCTGATTGGATGCACGTGCTATTTGGCTGACAATTTTCCACCTAGCTCTCTAAGGTCCAAGACTACTGGGCAAGAGGGTGCTGACAGGGCATATAAGGGTAACAGCAGAAAAAGACCAAGTGGTCCATTGAGTCTGCCCACCATTGTGGTCCAATGAGTCTGCCCACCATTGTGGTCCAATGAGTCTGCCCACCATTGTGGTCCAATGAGTCTGCCCACCATTGTGGTCCAATGAGTCTGCCCTCCATTGTGGTCCAATGAGTCTGCCCACCATTGTGGTCCAATGAGTCTGCCCACCATTGTGGTCCAATGAGTCTGCCCACCATTGTGGTCCAATGAGTCTGCCCACCACTGTGGTCCATTGAGTCTGCCCACCACTGTGGTCCATTGAGTCTGCCCACCACTGTGGTCCATTGAGTCTGCCCACCACTGTGGTCCATTGAGTCTGCCCACCATTGTGGTCCATTGAGTCTGCCCACCATTGTGGTCCATTGAGTCTGCCCACCATTGTGGTCCATTGAGTCTGCCCACCATTGTGGTCCAATGAGTCTGCCCACCATTGTGGTCCAATGAGTCTGCCCACCATTGTGGCCCAATGAGTCTGCCCACCATTGTGGCCCAATGAGTCTGCCCACCATTGTGGCCCAATGAGTCTGCCCACCATTGTGGCCCAATGAGTCTGCCCACCATTGTGGTCTTTTGATTTTTGCCTCTGTTGAGACGGACTTAGTGACTATTGAGGTAGTGAGGGTGATAACTGAACTCCAAGCTTGGTGAAAGTTATGAATTATTGATATGATTGCCAAAGTGTGGCAGTTCACGAACACCATGTGGGACTCCAGAAAGGGTCACTGGGAGTCTCAGTTTATGTGGAGCGAAAGGACGACCATGCTAAGCCATAGTCATCCCCCAGATTAAAATTTGACAGCAGTTTTAACCTTATTCAAGTTGGAACGCTTTTGGCTTTAACCCCTCGCCCTCCAGAGGATCATCACCAGGCCATTTTTTGTGTTACGGCGCTGCGTTACCTTTACTGATGATTGCGTGGTCATGCAACACTGCACCCAAATTAAATTTACATCCTTTTTCTTCCCACAAATTGAGCTTTCTTTCTGTGGTGTTTGATTGCCTGTGCGTTTTTTTTATTTTTTGTGCTATAAGCAAAAAAAGGCCAACAATTTGAGAAAGAGAAAAAAAAATTTTGGAATTTTTGCTATTACACATGTGCAGTAAAAAAAAAAAAAAAAAATCAAATTTCGTCATAAATTTAGGCCAAAATGTATTCTGCGACATGTCTTTGCTAAAAAAAAAATCCCAATACGTGTAAATTAATTGGTTTACATGAAGTTATAGCATTTACAAATGGCGGTATAGATAATGGGATTTTTTTTTTATTCCACTAGTAATGGCGGCGATCAGTGACTTTTAGCGGGACTGTGGCGACGTTCTGACACTGGGTTGGAACTAACTGACCCCAATGACACCAATACAGTCATCATTGCTAAAAAAAAAAAAAAAAAAAACAAAAAACACTGTACTAATGTCACTGGGAAGGAAGAGGTTAATGTGAGGGGAGATCAAAGGGTTAACTGTGTGCTGGGAGTGTTTTACTAGGGGGCGGGGTGTGTGTTCTCCACTGTAAGAACACTGATTGGGATGGCTGTGCTGTGTACAGCCATCCCGAGCAGTGTGCTCAAGCTAACAGGGAGGAAGATTTTTTGTTTGTAAACAAGACAATCTTCCTCCCCGTCGGTGATTGTCGGTAATCACCATCCGGGACCCGGTGATTGACATCCGCTGGCCGCCCCTAAACGGAAATGCAAAATGACATATATATATATATATATATATATATAATGTGTGTGTGAGATTCTGCGCACAGGTGCTGCCCTGTAGCAGTGTATTTGCTATAGGGTGGTCCTTAAGCGGTAAGATATACAGGATTTTACCTGCTTCTTATGGCGGAACTATACTCGCCTTCAGTCCAGCGACGCAGTGTTTCGGAGCTGCCCACTGGTTGCTGACCTCTTCAGGCGGCTGGCTTCCTGGTCTCGATTGGCAGCCACTTTCATTGGCCGCACGCGCGGGAGTTCAGTCATGCTTTGGCATTCCTGAATTTGTACACTGAGCTGCGTGTGCGCAACTCACTATACAGGGGCAGACAGGCAGGTAAGTACCTTTTAATGCAGAAGTGACAAAGCATGTCTTTTCTGCATTGAAAATCCTGCCTGTTTGCCCATTTATCATTTTTCCAATAAAGTTCCACTTTCTTCTTCACAATAAACCTAATAAATAATAATAAACCTAATAAATAAATAAACCTAATAAATCCCTAATAAAGGGGGAAATGTGTATAATCACAAAACATGTTAACTGGCAACATTTGGTAGACTTTTTATTGTGAAAAATCTAAATTCTACCTGGAATGATTGCTACAGACTTCATACAGCAATCTAAGGCACTAAAGTCCAGGGCGCTCCCAGCATTATACTCTATTTAGTCATAAATTGCAAACAGTAGAAAAACAATTAGAACGCATTCAGCCTGCGAATATTTCCCTGCAAGTTGCTGCTTTCTCACGGCTCCTGGATCACTAGTTACTGACAGCGAATGGCACACTTCAGTTGGCTTCTATAACACAGCTTTGTCGGGGATATAAATACACCCTAAGGATTGGATGGGGTTATTCTTATTATGCGCACTTTTTTTTAAAAGACTAATTTCACTTTTAAGGAAAAAATATTAAATGCACATATTTTTGCAATAAAAGAGTGCATTTAGAATTTTTACCTACTGCAGCCTGCAAAGTATTGCACCCGCTATCAGTGGGCTGCGATCGGGGAGAGGACCCCCCCTTCCCTCTGTCACAGGGGAAGGGGGGCAGGTACAGGAACATGTTACACCCTAGGTACTTATCCTTGATAGAAAACATTGTGAAATGCTTGTTAGGGTCCTTAAAAGTTAAACATGATGTCATGCTGAATACCTTTTAATACCCAAATTGCAGATGTTCCCCAAGGAAAACTATTTGGTATCGTCAAACTGCAAGTCAAGGAAAATGTTGTTCCATGTATTTTTTTAATTGTACTTTGCAGAATACTAGACAGTTCATATTCATGACTACTTGGCTTATGCTGGCACCTTCAGGTGAATGAACACTGCCCAGAAAAAAGCAGAAGTTTTGTGCCCATTCATAACCCTTCCTATCTCAACTAAACTTCAAGTTTTAGCAAATGCTCTCTTTTTATGGGCTTAGTTCCCTACTTCTAGCCTGTTCTGAACAGAGTGGGCTTCCAAATCAGGTAGGGAGTACCCCCTATACAAACCATCCATGTAATGGCTACCCTGAAGGGTACGATTAGCTCTATATCCCTGTCCTCGTCCAGTATTTCCACTGTCTCAAGTAGGAATTTTATGCAGGCATCTCTAGATTGTGAGATGAGCTGTCAGAGATCTTCACCAGTTTAGAATGCCTGGGAAACCAGCATGGGTTCTCTCCTTCTCCTCCTCTCCTTTTGCAGGAGGATGAGGCATGGGAAGAACATCCTCAAGATAAGGAAGAGGAGGAAGCTGTCGAAGATCTGGAATTCACTGTACACGGGTCCTCCTAGGAGGAATATTAGTGTCCAGGGCTGTCTCGGACACAGTAGCCCACCTTAGACTTCCTGGTTAATTTTGGAGGTTCAGTGGGTGCATTGGACACCCTGGCTGCCGTTGTGCTGCATGCTGGGTGTCCGGTGCACTCCCATGACCTTAATGAGGGGTGGGCTCCCTCAGGTTCACCTGCCCTTCTTTCTATCCATGTAAATGCATGTGCCTCCATTGTGAGGACTCTCAAGATTTGTAGAGTTAGGACCACAGATACTCAGGGTGCCGTGATGTGGCTCTGTGGCTTACGTATGTATTTGCAAATGTGTGCTAACTAAACCCCTGTTTTTAAACGCATGTTCTTAGACGGGTTAATTTGGTTTTGATAGTTGGCTAACTGGCTGGCAGTTTGAACCGGCTTTCTTATCCCCCTCTTTTGATAAGTTATACCTATCCATGTTCCTTGCCGACAATCGCCATTATTAGACTGGGGCAGGCTGGCAAGTTGAGCTGGATAGTCTATTTTTTACTTTGTGACGCCTTCCATGTTCACTGTTTAAAAATCCAGTTATGGACCTGGGTAGGGGACCAGTTTTTTTTCTTTGTTTTTTCTTTGATGTGTGCATGAACCTTCTCACTGCCTGATTCTTCTTCCCCTAAAATCACTGGTTTGGGTGTATGGAGCTGCCACAAACATCCCAGGTCCTTTCCAGCGCACCCACCTTTGGGGGAAGTATTGTGTGCTGATTGGGAGGGAGTGTTTCCACATCTGAAAACTTTTCGATGACAAAATATATAAGAAATCCCCCACTGCAAACTGTTACTGATTATCACGTCCTGAAAAAAGTGTAACGCCAGATATTGAACACAAACAAAAAATCAAACCGGTGATATCTGGGATCTGCTTCTCCTAATCACCACACAAATCAAAGTAAAATCTACCACAATGTGCAATAATTGACTCCTGACAAATAGGGATATGGCCGGATTTACTTGTCATGAGTGAATTATTGTGTATTTTCATATATTTACTTTGTGGGCAGTGTGCTTCACTATTGTTTAATAACCGTACTCCATGGAGGAAGAATTCTACAAAAATGGTGTTCTTAGCTGTTGACCTGGCCCTTTCCTACTTGAATAAGACCCTGAAGGTTCCAGTGGAGAAGGTCCTGGTCTTTCCAGACACCACGAATAAGAGGTTAGAAGCCCTTTTTAAGGTGTCGTCCTCTCTGGTAGGAGTGGCTTTGCAGCCCGTAGTAGCTGAGGTGAGCCAAGCCATGTGGGCAAAGTATGCTTCGTTTCAGTGTATGGGAACCAGGGGTCTTGCTATCTGACAGTTCTTGGAATATTTCCAAGAACCCGGCATTTCTGGGTGTGCGTTTTGAAAGGCGTGGTAGTGGGGTTCTCGTCTATTTTATTTGTGAGCTTTGGGCTTGTTGGCCTTGTTGCTGTGTTGCCCATGGACAGAACATGAAGTTCTGCCCAAGACAAGGTCAGGTCCCCACATCTTCCTGAGCAGCATGACTTCTTATCCTTCCTTGATGGTAGATGTATGTTCAGTGATTGGGGACATCCCAAGTAGTCCTGAATGTGAACTGCCTTGTAATGTATCATTAAGAAATGAGGATTTTTGTTTACCTGTAAAAATCCTTTTCTGGGAGTACATCACAGAAATTGAGCCTTAGCTGAGGTGGGAGGGTTATGTGTGGGTGGGTCATTCCTGGCTTCTTAGGCCACATTGACCACTTACCTGAAAATGGCAGCATAACCCAAGTAGTCATGACTATGAATTGCCCTGTTTCCAGTAATGTACTTATAAAGTCATTTCTTTTGCATAGTTACCCTTTACATTAAAGATACTTTGTTTTTTCCTTAGTTAACCAAGGATCAGCGACTTGTATATTCTGGTAAACTCCTCCTTGATCACCTGCAGTTGAAAGATGTTCTCAGGAAAGTAAGTATATTCTATGCGTGAGATTATTGTACAATTTCAGTGTTTCATTACTGTCCTGGGATTGGCCCCTTGTGTATGGCAGACTGCAGGATACTTGTGTTGGCAAAAGTGGTTGGGAACGTTGAATTCTCATTTTAAGTTGGATGCCTAAAGTGCTATTAAACATAAAATATATATAAATAAATAACATGTTATACTTCTCTGCTCTGTGCAATGGTTTTGCAAACAGCAGGCCCAGTCCTCCTCTTCTTGGGTCCTCGGCGCTCCTGGGTCCTCCCTCCTGCTGAGTGCCCCCAGGGCAAGCGGCTTGCTCTGAGGGCACTCATGCGTGCTCTCTCCCGAGCTCCTCTGTGTGTCACTAGGACATACAGAACTGGGCTCGGCCCCACCCCCGCTCCTTTATCACTGGCTGTGATTGACAGCAGTGGGAGCTAATGGCTCCTGCTGCTGTGTCTGAGCCAGTGAGGAGGCAGAGACCCAGGAGAGCAGCTGCTCTCGTGCACAGCGCTGGACCGCGATCGGGCTCGGGTAAGTATTAGAGGGTCAGTGGGGGGATCTTCATACTGAAGGTTTTTTACCTTCATGCATAAAATTAATGAAGGGAGTAAACCTTCAACCTTTAGAATCACTTTAAGTAGAGGTGATTGGGGGAAAAGCTCTAGTTTAGTTTGCTTGTGGGCTCCATCTTGTACTGCCTACAGTTGGGTGATTGTTGGGATACAGTAGATCAGGGGTGTCACACTCCATTTCATCGCGGGCCATATCAGCATTACGATTGCACTCAAAGGGCTGGTTTTATCTGTAAGACTAGATGTCCAGAGCACCCCCCCCCCATTATATCAGATGTCAAAATCCCACACCCTCCCTAACATCAGCGTGCACCCCCTTTGGGGGCAGAGCTGGAAAGCAGAAAGTGCAGGGTATGGAGGAGGACCAAAGGAGGAGTGGAGTCAGCTAACAGTGTCAGCTGAATGCTGAGACGAGGGGAGGCAGAGATGAGGGGGTGCTGCAGCTGCTCTGAGAGGTGCAGGATTTAGCAGAGGAGTTCTGTTCTCCTCTCTGTTGCCACTGCTGAGACAAGGTGAGGGTGGAGACAAGGGGGTACCTGCAGGAGAGGTACAAGGGTCACATGAAATGGGCTGGAGGGCCGGATTCGGCCTGCGGGACTTGTGTTTGACACCTGTGCAGTAGTTGATAGTTTCTAAAGCCTTAACCCTTTTGTTGACAGATCATTTTTTGCATACGTTTAACCCCTTGACGCCAACGTAACACAAATATGCGGTCTCACAGAACGGGGCTTTTTTCCGTGGGGCCGCATATTTGCGTACCTGTCTTTGTGCTGGGAGCGCGCCACACGGCGGCAAAGACGGCGGTGTCACTGAGAGCACACGGGTCCCGTTGTAACAATCGGGAGCTGCGACTCCCAATTCCGAGTCACATAATCGCGGTGATAGTCTCTGATTGGCTATCACAGTGATCAGTCACTGTACAGCCCAGCCCCCTTTTTTTTTTTTTCTCTCTATGAATGGAGGAGAGAGATACATTGTATCATTATATACATCATATTATACATTGTATTTCTCTAACTCCTGGCATAGAGGGGAAAAAAAAAGTTTATAAAAAAAATAAATATTAGAAAATAAAGAAAAATACCTACCGTATTTGCCGGCGTATAAGACGACTGGGCGTATAAGACGACCCCCCTACTTTTCCTGCTAAAATGTAGTGTTTGGGCTATACTCGCCGTATAAGACTACCCCTCTTCCAATGCACACCAGTGGGAGGAATAGTGCCCCATCATTGGTGTCAGTGGGAGGAAAAGCGCCCCATCATTGATGTCAGTGGGAGGAATAGTGTCCCATCATTGGTGTCAGTGGGAGGAATAGTGCCCCATCATTGGTATCAGTGGGAGGAATAGTGCCCCATCATTGGTGTCAGTAGGAGGAATAGTGCCCCATCATTGGTGTCAGTGGGAGGAATAGTGCCCCATCATTGGTGTCAGTGGGAGGAATAGTGTCCCATCATTGGTGTCAGTGGGAGGAATAGTGCCCCATCATTGATGTCAGTGGGAGGAATAGTGCCCCATCATTAGTGTCAGTGGGAGGAATAGTGCCCCATCATTGGTATCAGTGGCAGGAATAGTGCCCCATCATTGGTGTCAGTGGGAGGAATAGTGCCCCATCATTGATGTCAGTGGGAGGAATAGTGCCCTATCATTGGTGTCAGTGGGAGGAATAGTGCCCCATCATTGGTGTCAGTGGGGGAATAGTGCCCCATCATTGGCATTAGTGGCAGGAATAGTGCCCCATCATTGGTGTCAGTGGGAGGAATAGTGCCCTATCATTAGTATCAGTGGAGGAATAGTGCCCCATCATTGGTATCAGTGGCAGGAATAGTGCCCCATCATTGGTATCAGTGGCAGGAATAGTGCCCCATCATTGGTATCAGTGGCAGGAATAGTGCCCCATCATTGGTATCAGTGGGGGGAATAGGTGCCCCATCATTGGTATCAGTGGCAGGAATAGTGCCCCATCATTGGTGTCAGTGGGAGGAATAGTGCCCCATCATTGATGTCAGTGGGAGGAATGGTGTCCCATCATTGGTGTCAGTGGGAGGAATAGTGCCCCATCATTAGTATCAGTGGGAGGAATAGTGCCCCATCATTGGTGTCAGTGGGGGGTGGAATAGTGCCCCATCGTTGGTGTCAGTGGGAGGAATAGTGCCCCATCGTTGGTATCAGTGGGAGGAATAGTGCCCCATCGTTGGTATCAGTGACACCAATGATGGGGCACTATTCCTCCCACTGAGACTTGCTGACCCTGTTCTAGTATGGTGCTGCTGCAGCCAGCATATGTGGTTGCAGCAGCACCTCTACACAGCACACTTAACTGCTGCTCCGGCACTCAATTTTCGCGGGGGGCCGCTCGGCTCCGCCCCCTCGCCCCCCGGTGATTGGCCGCCTGTGTGCCTTTCCTGAGCTACAGTTCTGGCGGCCAATCACCGGTGAGGAGGCGGAGCCGAGCAGCCGCACGAACATCCAGTGGCCGAACTGAAGGAGACGCCGCGCTTCCTGGACCGGATCGTCGTGGGGCTGGATCCAGGTAAGAGACATCAGCCCCTGCAAACCCCTGTACTTAATGCCGCAGGCCCCCTAAACATGTGTACCGGCGTATAAGACGACCCCCGACTTTTGAGAAGATTTTCAAGGGTCAAAAAGTCGTCTTATACGCCGGCAAATACGGTAGATCAAGGTTTGATCTAGTTCAGTGCCAGGGTAAGTTTTTTTTGGGTCGAGGTCAGGGTCAAAGGTCAGGATTTAGAAAAAAAAAAAAAAATTGGTTTCAGTTGGTGTCAATGTGTTTTTAGGTAAAAAAAAACCAAAAACCAAATGTGCACTATTGTTTCTGGGCTGTACTATGGGTACAAATAACACACATTTATGGGATCGCTGCGGTCGCCAAGAGCTGGAGAATTTATTTTGGGGTGTTCTTTGGTGGTATTGGTGGTAAATATTTTTTTTTTACTATTTTGGGCCAGTTCTCCTTTGATAATAAAAGAAAAAATGGAGATATCCATTACCATTTACCACCAAATGAAAGCCCAATTTGTCCTGAGAAAAACGCAGTATAATTCACCTGGATGTACAAAGCAGTTGTGACGATATGTACGGTTTTTTACTAACACATGTCAACGTTGCAAAATTGTGCTTAGGCATTTAGATTTGTTTTACCCTTAGGCGTGAAGAGGTTAAAAAATCATTTTAGGCCTGAAGATTACACAAAACCCCCAAAACATATATTTTTTCTGAAAGACACCCTAGAGCAGGTTTTCTCAACCAGCGTTCCCTGGAACCCTAGGGTTCTTCCAGAGGTTGCTAGGGGTTCCTTGAGCAATATCCGCCTCTCAGGTTTCTGCTGACACCATTGATATTTTTAGCGATCTATAAGGTGGTAATTCTTCCCAATGACCACAAGTGTAAGGAACATTCTTCCCACCGACCATCACACGAATGTATCCTGAGCTGTAGATACGGTAATCTTTAGCAGGGGTTCCCCGAGACCAAAAAGTCATTTGAAGGGTTCCTCTGTGTTGAAAAGGTTGAGAAAGGCTGCCCTAGAAAATAAAATGGTGGTAGTTACAATTTATGTCACACTATATTGCTGTAAAGGTCTAGGAAATTCAAAATTTCAGTAATAAAAACACTGTGAATTTTAGGGCAAAAGAAAAGCCATACATTGGCCAAATTTTTGGTAAAAGATGCGGTTGTGCCGAATAAATAGATACCAAGCATGCCAAACCTTAAATTTATGTGCGCCTATGACATGGTGACAAACTTCAGGACTCTATATTTTCTATAGGTGACACTTCAATAGCCCCTAGAGGTCATCAGTTTAGCGATACGGAGGAGGTCTTGTATTAGAATTATTGCTCTCACTCCGGCATGTGCGGTGATATGTAACCACTTGCCCTCTGGAAGATTTCCCCCCATTCGCAGGCCATTTTTTGCGTCACAGCGCTGCATTACAATTGCACGGTCAGGCAATGCTGTACATAAATTAAATTTATGTAATGTTTTTTTTTCCCCACAAATAGAGTTTTTTCTTTTGATGGTATTTGATTTTTTGTTATAAACAAAAAGACTGACAATTTTGAAAAAAAATATATATATTTTTGACTTCTTGCTATAAGACATATCCAATAATAAAAAAAAAAAAAATTCAGAAATTTAGGCCAAAATATATTCTGCTGCATGTCTACAAAAAAAATCCCAATAAGTGTATATTAATTGGTTTACGTGAAAGTTGGAGCATCTACAAATGGCAGTATACAGTCAGGTCCATAAATATTGGGACATGGACACAATTCTAACATTTTTGGCTCTATACACCACAATGGATTTGAAATGAAACGAACAAGATGTGCTTTACCTGCAGACTGTCAGCTTTAATTTGAGGGTATTTACATCCAGATCAGGTGAACGGTGTAGGAATTACAACAGTTTGCATATGTGCCTCCCACTTGTTAAGGGACCAAAAGTAATGGGACAGAATAATAATCATAAATCAAACTTTCACTTTTTAATACTTGGTTGCAAATCCTTTGCAGTCAATGACAGCCTGAAGTGTGGAACGCATAGACATCACCAGACGCTGGGTGTCATCCCTGGTGATGCTCTGCCAGGCCTTTACTGCAACTGTCTTCAGTTCCTGCTTGTTCTTGGGGCATTTTCCCTTCAGTTTTGTCTTCAGCAAGTGAAATGCTCAATCGGATTCAGGTCAGGTGATTGGCCATTGCAGAACATTCAACTTCTTTGGTGTCTTTTGCAGTCTGCTTTGGGTCATTGTCCATCTGCACTGTGAAGCGTCCAATGAGTTGTGAAGCATTTGGCTGAATATGAGCAGATAATATTCCCGAAACACTTCACAATTCATCCGGCTGCTTCTGTCAGCAGTCACATCATCAATAAATACAAGAGAAGCAGTTCCATTGGCAGCCATACATGCCCACGCCATGACACTACCACCACCATGATCACTGATGAGGTGGTATGCTGAGGACCATGAGCAGTTCCTTCTCCATACTCTTCTCTTCCCATCACTCTGGTACAAGTTGATGTCGGTCTCATCTGTCCATAGGATGTTGTTCCAGAACTGTGAAGGCTTTTTTACATGTCGTTTGGCAAACTCTAATCTGGCCTTCCTGTGTTTGAGGCTCACCAATGGTTTCCATCTTGTGGTGAACCCTCTGTAGTCACTCTGGTGAAGTCTTCTCTTGATTGGTGACTTTGACACACATACACCTACCTCCTGGAGAGTGTTCTTGATCTGGCCAACCGTTGTGAAGGGTGTTTTCTTCACCAGGGAAAGAATTCTTCGCTCATCCACCACAGTTGTTTTCCGTGGTCTTCCGGGTCTTTTGGTGTTGCTGAGCTCACCGGTGCGTTCCTTCTTTTTAAGAATGTTCCAAACAGTTGTTTTGGCCACACCTAATGTTTTTGCTATCTCTCTGATGGGTTTGTTTTGTTTTTTCAGCCTAATGATGGCTTCACTGATAGTGACAGCTCTTTGGGTCTCATCTTGAGAGTTGACAGCAACAGATTCCAAATGCAAATAGCACACTTGAAATGAACTCTGGACCTTTTATCTGCTCATTGTAATTGGGATAATGAGGGAATAACACACACTTGGCCATGGAACAGCTGAGAAGCCAATTGTCCCATTACTTTTGGTCCCTTAACAAGTGGGAGGAACATATGCAAATTGTTGTCATTCCTACACCGTTCACCTGATTTGGATGTAAATACCCTCAAATTAAAGCTGACAGTCTGCAGTTAAAGCTCATCTTGTTCGTTTCATTTCACATCCATTGTGGTGTATAGAGCCAAAAATGTTAGAATTGTGTCCATGTCCCAATATTTATGGACCTGACTGTATGTTGCCTCCTTGTCACCTGTTTTGAAGCTGAGTATCCCACACTTCCATGTCATAGATGTGTGCACTACACATGGTTGCGGCATAGCCTTATTCGCTCTACATAGCAGCGAAGTAAAGCATTGTGGCCTCAGCATAAGTACCACCCTGTTTGACCTCTGTTGTAGCGTAAGGTAAGTGAGCAGTAAAGCCTTGGATCAACTTCCTATTTTTAATGCCCCTCAAACAAAAGTGTAAATGAGGACCTTTTTTTTTTTTTTTTTTTTTTTTTTTTTTTTTTTCAAAAAGAAGTAGAAAAGTCTGTAATTGCTGGCAAAGGTGCTTCAACTTTATAGTCAAAGGGGGGGGGGGGGGGGGAGTATGCTTATGAAGTTGGTTATTTTTTGTTTTCCATTATCATTAAAGAGATAATCTTAGCATTTTTTACACTCATTTTCCAGTATAATTATAACCTTCCCTTCCCCAAACACTTACCTTCTGTTCTCTGTCAACGCCGCCAGCTCTGGGTCAATCTGTGTCATTCCCTGAACCTCCCAAGTTGTGGAGGAGCAATAGGCTTCTGGAGCTGTCAATCAGCTTGCTGGGAGGAGAGAGTAGGGGGGTGACTTGCCGGGCGCTGTGTGCTTGAAAGGAGGCACACAGCCCTGATTGGGAGCATGCACAGCAGTGGGCTAGCTGATAGAGACATTGGCAAATGGGGAGGGAGTGATTCGAAGACCGGCCAAACAGATTTCCAGGAAGGAAACTATAAATATTGTGTAATTGTGGACTTCCTAAACATATTTATCTTTCACTTTGCAAAGCTCTATTTTCACCCTGTTATGAGAAAAACATATTCTGCTGATCTGAGTCTGTAAACAAAATGAAATGCATTTGAATTTCTTGTCCTAGGACACGGGTAGGCAACCTGCGGCTCTCCAGCTGTTGCAGGACTACAAGTTCCATCATGCCTCTGCAAGTCATAGCTGTAACTGTCAGTTTTGTAATGTTGCAATGCCTCATGGGAAATGTAGTTCCACAACAGCTAGAGAACCGCAGGTTGCCTACCCCCTGTCCTAGGAGAACAAAACCCTTCCAAGGGCTGCATGCACACTGGTGTTGTAATAACGCCATAATAATTGGTAGTGTTAGCCGTGTAAAGTCGTGTTAAAAACGTCAGTTTTTTTTTTGTTTTTGCATTAGCATTTAGACTTGTTTTTCCACGTTTGCATTTTTTACACACGAAAAAATTTTGCTCCAAAAAATTCCCCAAAACGGCGGTTTGCCACATTTTACCGCTTTTTTCAGCATTAGAGCATTATTACAGCTAAAAAAACTCCACTAGTTCTGGGTTTTTTTCCCAGCCAAAAAACCCGTCTGTGTCAAAAAACGCTGAGTAAAAGCCTTTGTGTACATGGACACAAAAGATAACATGCTGGGGAGTTTACTGGCTGTAGAAAAGAACACCAAAAGCATCCAGTGTGCATGAGACTAATGCAGGACATACATGGATCGAATTCCGAACAAATTTTCCTTCAAAAATTTGAGTTTTTGTGCGTTTTGTAATCCGATGGCGCCACCATTGATTTTGAAATTTGACCAACCAAGCCTTCAATTTCAGCTCATGTTGCTACAGAAAAGAATTTTCATGGCCACAAATTCTCTTTTCTTTCCAGGTCGCAGCTCATGCTCATTTCTTCTTCGTTTATATTTCTCGCACGATCCTCCCATCATTGATTCCAAATTCGTTTGGTTTTCAAAAAATTTCCAACATGCCCAGTCACTCAAATTCGATGGTCGCATGAAAATCGTCCGTTTCTGTGACTCACTAATGGTGCAAAATTCAAATAAAAATTCTTACAAAAGTTTTTTGAAAGAACATTCTTTCGGAGTTGGACCCGCGTATGGCCGGCTTTAGAGTCACTTCATAATAAAATCTCATTCAGAGTCAATAAATCAAGCTGAAGTTGTAAACCACTGTGGAGCGTTTGGCATTGGAATGCAGCATGGCATAGTATACGTCTTGTTTGTGCATCTTATACAAACTGTTCTTTTGTGCTTTGTCTTGCAGCAAGATGAATATCACATGGTTCATTTAGTATGTGCCTCCAGGACGCCTCCTAACTCCCCGAAACCAAGCACCAGCAGAGAAAACGCTAGAGCTGCAAGCACCAGCAGTAAATCAGTAAGTATGGAGCTGTGAGCGTATATCCGTGTACATCCCCTTCGTTTATCTAACATGAATGCTCACTAACCCGAAGTACCGTATATTTAATAACTTGCAAAAATTCTGCTGCTGCAATTAGAGTAAAGCTTGCTTTTTCATAATTCCAAAAGGTCACATTTTATTGTTGTTGATTAAAATATGCTGTAGTGCACCCAGATTCCTTGTTAGTCCCCTTACTGGTCCATGGTTCAGCAGCCTCCTAGGTGGAGAACCGGGGCGCTTAGGGGAAGATTCCTTGTTAGTCCCCTTACTGGTCCATGGTTCAGCAGTCTCCTAGGTGGAGAACCGGGGCGCTTAGGGGAAGATTCCTTGTTAGTCCCCTTACTGGTCCATGGTTCAGCAGTCTCCTAGGTGGAGAACCGGGGCGCTTAGGGGAAGATTCCTTGTTAGTCCCCTTACTGGTCCATGGTTCAGCAGTCTCCTAGGTGGAGAACCGGGGCGCTTAGGGGAAGATTCCTTGTTAGTCCCCTTACTGGTCCATGGTTCAGCAGCCTCCTAGGTGGAGAATCGGGGCGCTTAGGGGAAGATTCCTTGTTAGTCCCCTTACTGGTCCATGGTTCAGCAGTCTCCTAGGTGGAGAACAGGGGCGCTTAGGGGAAGATTCCTTGTTAGTCCCCTTACTGGTCCATGGTTCAGCAGTCTCCTAGGTGGAGAACAGGGGCGCTTAGGGGAAGATTCCTTATTAGTCCCCTTACTGGTCCATGGTTCAGCAGCCTCCTAGGTGGAGAACCGGGGCGCTTAGGGGAAGATTCCTTGTTAGTCCCCTTACTGGTCCATGGTTCAGCAGTCTCCTAGGTGGAGAACAGGGGCGCTTAGGGGAAGATTCCTTGTTAGTCCCCTTACTGGTCCATGGTTCAGCAGTCTCCTAGGTGGAGAACAGGGGCGCTTAGGGGAAGATTCCTTCTTAGTCCCCTTACTGGTCCATGGTTCAGCAGCCTCCTAGGTGGAGAACTGGGGCGCTTAGGGGAAGGCATTCAGGAGGATAAACGCTGCAGTGTCAGTGCCATCATATGGGGTTAAAAAGAATTGAGTATAAGCGCCTTGATATGGATGTAAGCTGCTATGCACAAAAAAAGCTAACCAATATCACCCTAAAACAATCTAAACCAGAGTGCAGCGCTAAAAAGAGTAAATGCAAATATAGCGTATAAATTATGAATAAATAAGGTGCAAAGAGTTCAAATAGTAATGTACTCCAGACTAAAGTGACTCTTGTGCTCTGATAATTAGGGGGTCCGGTATCCGTGTGATAGTGGTGAAGGTAGTGCTGTCAGGGCTCCGGGTATGACCAGAGGTGTGTGGACTGACACAGGGATACGCAGGCTTCAGGTATGACCAGAGGTGTGTGGACTGACACAGGGATACGCAGGCTTCAGGTATGACCAGAGGTGTGTGGACTGACACAGGGATACGCAGGCTTCAGGTATGACCAGAGGTGTGTGGACTGACACAGGGATACGCAGGCTTCAGGTATGACCAGAGGTGTGTGTGGACTGACACAGGGATACGCAGGCTTCAGGTATGACCAGAGGTGTGTGGACTGACACAGGGATACGCAGGCTTCAGGTATGACCAGAGGTGTGTGAACTGACACAGGGAAATGCAGGCTTCAGGTATGACCAGAGGTGTGTGGACTGACACAGGGATACGCAGGCTTCAGGTATGACCAGAGGTGTGTGGACTGACACAGGGATACGCAGGCTTCAGGTATGACCAGAGGTGTGTGGACTGACACAGGGAAATGCAGGCTTCAGGTATAGTGTAAATAAGACAATTTATTAAGACTAAACAACACAAACGCAGTGCAAGGTAACATAACACAGTGCAAACAACCCATCCTCCAACAGATAACCATATATACAAATCAAACGTAGTCGAGCAGGTCGGGTCGGTGGCAAACGGTACCAGGAGCGAGCGGAAGAGTGGTCAGGAATAGCCGCGGTCAGGACAGGCGGAGTTCATTCAGAGTCAGGATCAAAGCAGAGTCAGGATCAGGCAGGAAGCAGACAGGATACCAGGTACAGGGGCTCATGGGAAACATACACCAAGGCACTGACTGCAGGTCTGGCCATTCCTTAAATACACCTCCTGCAATCAGCCTCAGGTGATGGCTGACTGCAGGAGTGAGCTTCTGGTTGCTGAGAGCACCCGCTGGCCAGCCCTGGTACTGCAGCCCACACGGCAGATGAGTCCCACCACTAATGGTGAGTCCATTCCTGACAAATGCGCACTCACCGGACGCGCATTAATATGCGCTTTGTATAAATTATTCCAGATGTCATCTGGTGTTGGGTGGTCCTCCTAATATAAGGTGGTGTGGCACCGGTGTAGGTAATCCTTTTCCCTTGAATGGGTTCCCCTGTGCTCCTGGTGGATGGTATCCCTCTTGATGGGCAGACCTTCTCTGTACTGCAATGATCCGTCCAGGGAGCAGGTCTGTGGACTAAAGCACTTGGCATACTTTGCCATAGTGACATTCTTCCCGGCATTACTTACTGTATCAGCCACAGTGTTAAGCTGGCCTCAGGCTTACGTGCCACCAATCTAACCAGATCAGTCACCTCGTGTCTTTGGATCTGTCTTCATGTTACGTATTTGGTAACACTATTTTATTATTTATTACATGCTACATATTGGGGAAGATTTATAAAAACTGCTGCACACAGAATCTGGTGCAGTTGTGTATAGTAACCAATCAGCTTCTAACTTCATCTTGTTTAACTATTAACAAGAAAACCTAGAAGCTGATTTGTACCATGAACAGCTGCACCAGTGTTAGGAAATCTCCCCCATGTGTGTATTCTATGTTAGATATTTGTGCCTAGGAACATATGAGCTGAAACTGCCTTAAAATGTAGTTCTAGAGAAACCAATGGGTTTTGTGTTTATATATAAAACAGTGAAACTGCATAAAAGCAGAATAGAAGGTTACCCATAGCAATCACGCAGATTCCAGCTGCCATTTTCAAGTGCATGTTTCAAAATAAAAAGTTGATATTGGAATATTTATTGTCCTAAATGGTAAATGAGTCTTTTTATGCCATTTAATACAATATCTTTTTGCATACTAAACCTTTTTTCAGAACTAGAATACGATGACCGTGAGAATGTCTTTGGGCAATATAAAAACACCACCTGATGGGATATATGTACATGAAATGAATGCACAACATTGCAAGTAATCCATGTTTTTTTAGCAGCTGTTGCATTCAGGTTTATGGGCCTTTTCCTCTGGTTTATATGTTTTGAGTGTCGAGTTTTTCCTTTGAAAATCTTACAGAATAGTTAAATCTGACCCCACATGTTTCGTTTTTTTTTTTTTTTTTTTCTTTCTTTTTAGGGCTCAGAGCACTCAGGATCCGCTTCCCCGGTATCTGCAAGTCAGGATATGCCGTCCACATCATCAAATCATAGAAACGAGGAGAGCTTGAGACACCGCCATGCCTCCCACTCATCTGCCAATACCATGCATGACTACTTTTCATACAACAACAACAACAGTGAGTTAGAATTTGTGAAATCAGCTGTATACCTTCACTCAAATAGCTTTTATTTTTGTTGTCTAATTTATTTTTTATCTCAACATAAGTCACCAAATAAGTCATAGAATTAAATATTGAGTCATATAGACATTGAAATTACAAGTTTTATTAAGTTTACCTCCATTGGATTCATATTGTGTAGTCTAATAGACAGCAGAGTTTGACCTCACTACCCTGTGAATTCTGTAGCATAGTTGACTTGGTTAGACGTGTTTCTTCCTCGCTTAGCACCACAAGCGTGCTTTAGAACACCCCCCCAGTGAACTGTATACTTCCCAGCAACAAAAATATTCATAGTCATCCTTTAGGTCCATTCACACTGAAATGTGTTAAGTTCAGGTAAATGCGTATGCTTTGATGTGCGTTGGCATACTGCATTGCATTTTAACATACATTGTGTTACACAAAATTACTTTTTTTTTTTTTTTTTTTTTTAAGGAAAGTTCAATGGATTGGTTTGACTCTTGCATTTAAGTGTGCTGCAGTGCACTTACATGTGTTTTTTTTTTTTTTTCTCATGGTCCTTAACCTCCCTGGTGGTATTCCCGAGTGTAGCTCGGGGTAAAGTTTCGGTACCAAAAGCGGTAACCCCCCCGAGCTACACTCAGGCTTACCATGCGGCGTTGCTCAGGGATTCCCTGCAGCACTTACCTTGTCCTTCGCTCCCACGATGTGTCCCTGCAGTGTCCCCGGCCATCTCCTCCGGCCGATGCTGGCATCTGGCTTCCGTGTTCTGGTCCCTGTGACGTTGGGACGTACGGGCGCCGGAACCGACGGCAAATTTAAAAAATGACATTTTTTTTTTTAAAACGATTATCACATAGTATAACATTACTGTATCAAACCATTTCACATACATTGTGTCCCGAGTGCTTTGTCCTGTGCCCTGCCTGCATTTTTACTGTTCTTTCTGCCTGGAAACTGAGAAACGTCCATGGCATCCAAAAAGCGTCCCTTTTACGTCAAAAGTGGTTTTAGACCGGCTAGAGAACAGCGATAGTAAATCAGAACCACTTGCAGAATTGAGTGATAATGATTGGTGGGGGAAATTCCTCATCAGACACTGAAAACGATTCTGCGACTTTGCTCAGCGATGTGCGAACTTGGCGCTATATTTCACATTCTGTGTTTTTGGTTTGATTATATTATTGAATTAAATTTATTATTATATTATTATTTTTTATGATTATTTATTAAATTATAATTTATGATTTCGTGTTTCAAGTTTTATCCTCCCCGGGATGTTTACTAGACTCTTGTTCGGACAGATTTCAGTGAGTTATTCCTAAAAATTACAGCCTACAATAAAAAAACTACATATTTCCATGCAAAATAATGGTACCGCTTTCAGCACCAAAAATCTGAAATAATCAGACCGCCGAGGAGGTTAAAAAAGTAGGGCATGTTCTACTTTTTTTTTTCAGTGCATTGCAGTGTGCAGCAACATAAACAAACTGGTGTTCATTGCTCCTATTGAAATACGTCGCATTTTTACAATGTACAGTGAGTATAAAAAGTCTACACACCCGTTAAAATGTCAGGTGTCTGTGATGTAAAAAAATTAGACAAAGATAAATAATTTCGGAACTTTTTCCACCTTTATTGTGACCTATAAACCGTGCAACTCAATTGAAAAACAAACTGAAATCTTTTATGGGGGGGAGTAAACATAAAATCTAAAATAATGTTAAATAGGAGTCAGTACACAACTGCCGACATTTTCTTCACCATTCGTTGTATTATACTGAGCATTAATATTTTTTTTTTTTTTTTTTTTTTTAGACACGTTGGGAATCCTATTCCTGGACAGGGAGCTCCAGCAGTATTTCCAGCATATTCAGTCTTCAGCCCTTTGCAAATGATGTGGTGGCAGCAGATGTATGCTCGACAGTACTACATGCAATAGTAAGTTTTTTGTGTTTTTTTTTAATCTTAATTGTACGGTACAGGACAAAGGCAAAGCATTCACACACCACGGATTATAGGCTTGCATCTTCAGAATCTTCAGTGAATGAACACTGGAAAGATTTTGAGGATACAACACCTCCCCTATAAACCTACCCCTCTCCATTCTCTGTCTTTTACTAGTGTCCTAAGGTGATGGACCTCTTCTCCTTCTCTGAGAAATCACTCTTAGTTTAAATAGTGTGGAATTTTCCTTTATTTCATCTTTTAATTCTTCAATTAACTCCAAACGGTCTTCTAATGCAGTGTTTCTCAACCTATTTTAAGTCCAGGTACCCTCTAAAATTATGGACAGTCCCAAGGCACCCTTTAAAATTATGGGACAGTCTTGAGGCACCCCATTGTAAAATGTAAACTATTCTAATAGCAGCAACATCCACACATGTAGGACGCCCAACATTAGAGGTGATTTATTCTTCCCTATCAAATACACTTTTGTACACTGGTCCTGACTAGTAATACAGCGTTTCTCTCGGTTTTTCTCCATCACTGAGTTAATGTGACCCCAGCATTGATGGAGGGGGGCAGGGGAAAGTCAAAACAAGGATGCTGTGCAGGCAACTGACACCCTCCTTATCAACTGATGATGTCATTGGCCGGTGGCTAGAGGGTCGTAATGGCGCACAATGATAACCTGTGGCTTTGTGTAACTAAACGTCAGGCTTCTTCCACCCGCTGGCTTGTATACAAGCTTTGTGTTGTATCCTCAAAATCAATTTTAGACATTTTGCCAAGGCACCTCTAAAGAAACCTCTAAAGAAACTCACCAACGAGGCTGATTTACTTTGAATGGTTGAGAATTTTCACGCAACTCCGTTCATAAATCAGCCTAATTTCATCAACTAAGAAAGTTCCCTCATTAATTCTGGCAGCTTAAAAATGACCAGCCGTTCACCAAATCTTTATTTCACCTGACTTACACTTATGATGTACAATGCATATTAAACAAGTTAAAATAGGATGTGATCCAAAGCATAACCATCACATTAGAGGTGATTGGCTTTTCTAATGCCACAGATAGAACCAGTGCATCCAAATGAACACCTCCTCAGTAACACCTTGGGAGTCGTACCCTGGAGCCCAAGCCAAGAGGACAGCCTGTAATGCTGGGTCCTGCGTGGACGCTCCGCTCACACTTAGTGCAATGTGTGTAGTCAGCTGCAGGGTGTATTTTCTCTATTCTGGAATGTTTCGATAATGTCATTGCAGAAAATCTAGAGTAAAAATGCTGTCCGATAAGTTGCTGCTACGACTAAAGCTGGTCATACACAGTTGGTTTTCATTCAGTCAGGACCTAAATCCATTCCAGCACCCACTTCAACAAGATGAATGGAGGAACCCCGCTGCCATTGTCCGAATATGCTGATCAACTGCTGTAGCTGATTGGGTGCAGCTGCTGATTGAGGAACATTTTCCAATGTGTTCCTTCCACAGAGGTTGCTCAAATGATTGACTTCTGTCAAGTGAGGGTTAGGGACTGATGTGAATGTACGATATATATGGAAAGTGCTGTGTAAATTGATGGCGCTATATAAGTACCTGAAATAAATAAGGGGGGAGCGCACAATGATCAAAATTCAGCCATTCTCGTGCGGAAGCGGCTTCATTTTGATTAGTGTATGGCCTGAGTTATTCACGTGTGTAGTGTAGTGTGAAGTACTGAGTGCTGTAAACAGGATTTTTATTGGGTGATAAAATAGAGGAAAACCCATTTCCCCATTGTACATTATTTTTTATTTTCTGGGTGGAACATGTGACATGTTTCACTGCTGCAGCATCTCCCCGATCCGCCGCCTCAAGTGACAGCAAGCCAGAGATCTTCTCCCCAAACTCACTATCACAATGTAAACATTTATGTGAATGGGAAAAGTACATCTACTGTCAGCCTTTGCGGCTGACTGCTTGTAGTTTTCATTGAACTACCAGAGCGCTGTTGAATGCTTCAGGTAGTTCATTGATGGTTCCTGTCATCGTGTAACTGCCTGCCCATATGAGGTACGAGCAAACCGCTGAAACGGACTGTCTGTAGGAGTAATGCATTCTGTGATTTGCTGATCGCGGGCGCAATGCTTTACAGACTCCTAATAAAAAAAAATAATAAATGTACATTTTTTTAACTGCAAAAAGATGTGCATTTATTATTATTATTATTATTATTATTTTAAAGGTGAACATATCCATTCATGAGTGATGGTTATGCTTTGGATCACATCCTATTTTAACTTGTTTAATATGCATTGTATATCATAAGTGTAAGTCAGGTGAAATAAAGATTCGGTAAACGCCGGGTCATTTTTAAGCTGCCAGAATTAATGAGGGAACTTTCTTAGTTGATGAAATTAGGCTGATTTATGAAAGGAGTTGCGTGAAAATTCCCAACCATTCAAAGTAAATCAGCCTCGTTTGTGAGTATTAAAGTGGTTCTGAAGGCTGAATGGTTTTTTTACCTTCATGCACTCTATGCATGGAGGTAAAAAAACCTTCAGTATGCAGCTTCCCCTGCAGTTCCCCCTAATACTTACCCAAGCCCAATCCACAGATGTGCACAAGAGCAACTGCTCTCCTGGGTCTCCGCCACCTCATTGACTTAGAAAACAGCAGTGGGAGCCATTGGCTCCTGTGGCTGTCAATCACAGCCAGTGAGGAGGGAGCCGGAGGCAGAGCTGATCCCATGTGTCTTATGGACACTCAGAGTGGGGCTTGGGAGCGAGCATGCATGAGTGCCCCCAGAGCAAGTTGCTTGCTATGGGGACACTCAAGAGGAGGAGCCAGGAGCGCCAGCGGGGGACCCTAGAAGACGAAGATCAGGTCTGTTCTGTGCAAAACCACTGTGTATACCAGGTAAGTATAACATGTTTCTTATTTTTTTATTAATTCTACCTTTACTATCACTTTAATTTAAAATGTATGGGGCAAGCTTTGTCTCAACTATGTTTTTACCGTAGCAGTCAGCCAGCATTTAAATTTAAATTTTTTTAAAGTTGTGTGGGAAAAATAGAAGCTGATTGCTATGAGTAATATCATCAACTAAGATAGAACTTGTCTCAGACACATTTTATTAGTTCTCCCCATTGTGTCTTGTGTGGAGTTTCTTGTTATTCAGTATTTTTAGCTGTGTTTTAGAATAGAAGTACAGTTTTTGTATCAATTGTATTCCTGAAAATGTAAGTTTTTTTTTTTTTTTTTTTTTTTTCCTTTTTTTACATTTTTTATTAATTTACCTTCCATCTTTTATTCCATGTTTTGTTTGCACTCTGAGGATTACTTCATCACAGTACATGTAGCAATGTATTCAGAGTGCAGTAACACATACCTCACCTTTTCACATTCTAGTGTATTTAGACTGCTCAGAGCTGGTTCTATGGGTCACTGCATACCATTGCTCCTTGAACTTTAGAAATCAGCACAGATCTATGATGTTCTAACATTGTAAAGGCTGATGTATGATTGGCATTAAAGATTATAATTAGTGCTCACTTATTTTTCATTTCATAGTCAAGCTGTGGCTTCCAACCAAGGACCTACTGCAACTCCCACCATCAATTCAGATCAACCTCCTACAAACCCTCCAAGAGCAGCTCCAAACATTGCTCCAGAAGTGAACCAAAATGTCCAAATGAATGTTCAAGGCGGCGCTGTTATGAACGAAGAAGACATTAACCGTGATTGGCTAGACTGGATTTACACTGTGTCCCGAGCAGCTATTCTTCTTAGCATAGTTTACTTCTATTCATCATTCAGTCGATTTGTTATGGTCATGGGAGCTATGATACTTGTTTACATGTAAGTGTGTGTGTGTGTGTGTGTGTGTGTGTGTGTGTGTGTTTTGTTTGCTGTGTGATCATGCTTCTGCTTTAACTGCTATACCAAATGGGAAGAGTGAACCTGCCTGACGCTCGGGACATGCAGTTCCAGGCAAGCAGAGGGGTTTACTATTTTTTAGGAGCTGACTGTCGGGTTTCTTGTAAAAGTAATCTGAGCGGCTAACTAGATGCTGGATTGCGTTTACAATTAGCAGGAGGGGGCATTAACACCCCACCAACACCCCCCCACACTGCCTTCTGTGGCTTTTGCGGGCTGCCCCATCCCATGGGGACACCATATCAACCAGCCGGCATTTTTGGCAGTTGATCATAGAGGCGGACGAAGACCGAAACCAATCTGTCTACCTCTATGATATAGGAAACCAGAAACGATGAGCATACATCACTTCCAGCTGCCCCTGATGTAAACAACAACATTTTTAAAAATGGAAAGCATTTGATCACACCGATCTTGATGTGATCAAATGCTTTTAAGGGCAGAATAGGCATTTGGAGTCTTATTGACCCCAGATCTTTCTGTAAAGAGTACCTGTCACTGCCTATTGCTGTCACAAGGGATGTTTATGTTCCTTGTGGCAGCAATAAAAGTGATCAAAAAGAAAAAAATTTAAGTGACAGTGAAAAAAAAAATGTAAAGCGCCCCTGTCCCCCCTGCTTTCACGCAAAGGTGAAACACACACTCTGGTGCTGCACGCATGCAAACAGCGATCATCCTACATGTGAAGTATCAACGCAAACATCAGATCATGGACAGTAATTCTAGCACCAGACCTCCTGTGTAAATCTAAAGTGGTAATCTGCAAATTCTTTTAAATTGTCGCCTATGAATAGTAAAATTTACATTGTTTGTTGCCATTGCACGGTCGTGCGCAATTTTAAAGCGTGATATGTTTGGTATCTATTTACTTTAAAATTCAAAAAAAGTGTATTTTTTTCCCAACAATTGTGTTTAAAAAACCTCTGCGCAAATACTGTGTGACATAAAACATTGCAACACCCACCAATTTATTCTCTAGGGCCTCTGCTTTAAAAAATATACATAATGTTTGTGGGTTCTAAGAATTTTCTAGCAAAAAATACTGATTGCTATATGTAAACAAAGTGCCAGTAAAATCTTGGCCTTCAAGAGGTAAAGGATGAGTTCACCTTTTGTAACATATGACATTTTATACTCCTATTCTGGGTGTCACATGTTACAAATGCACCAGCCTCCTCTCTTGGGTCCTGGATCCTGCATTTGGCACGTGCCTAGGCATGGAGTGCAAAGCGATGAGTTGGCCGCAGGGTGCTACATAAATCCAGAGCCGTGTGCCATCCACTGCTAAATTCCTGTCCCCAATTTGAGTTGCTGCCCTCCTCAGAGGCTTCGCTAGTTCCTTCTGGCACACCTCCCTCCTCCTGTTTATCCAGAGAGCAGTTCTCAGCCGCTATGGATGAATTCATGAGTAGGACCTTTATTAGAGGTCACAGGTCACAGGAAGTAAGGAAAACGCTGTTGCAGCTGAGACAGTTCTGGAGTCCTGACAGGAGCCAGGTAAGTGTTTAAAGACAGGTAGGTAGGAAAGATAAAATAAGGACAGAGAATGCATTATTGTCAAACAAAAAGACTTTTAGACTTTAGAACCACTTTATGTTGTGTTTCGGGTATTTCCTTTGTAGTTTACAGTTGTTGTTGTGGGGATTGTATTCTAATGCGACCTTTGAATGATTTTGATATGCAGGCACCAAGCTGGATGGTTTCCTTTTAGACAAGAAGAAGGTCAGCCACAAGCAAGAGACAATGCAGCGGATGTGAATCAAGACAGAGTGAACAACAATGAGCTCTTGGAAATGGTGAGTCGTTGTGGTAATTGTATGTATAATGTGCCCCATGTTTCTACTGATCCCAATGACTCCTAGAGCTGGGTATACATGTACCATTCAGTAGCAACCGGACAACTTTTGGTACATTTGTACCGCTGTCTGTTCAACAGAAGCTGGTCTAACGACTGGCTTTTGTTGAGGGTCATGCTGGAAAATCAGCATTCGATCTGACCTTGCCACCAATGGGCTGCAGCGCTAATCTGTGTATTCCGGTGGGGGGGGGTAGGGAGTCCCTGCTGTCAGAATGCAATACCTCAGTGGGAGAGATCCCTGCATATGTATCATTTCTGTTGATGCAGAGATTTTTATTTTTCATTCATCCTCCTGTTTAAGAAGTTATATTCTTATTAACTTCTAGTTTAGTCCACCCAAAGTTTACTTTGGAATTTTGTTTGAAAGCCAATGAGTCCTCCTTATAATTTCTTGGTATTCTACACTGAAGTATTAAAGTTTTGCCTACATTTGTACACGTGAATTTTAGTTCCAGATATCTATATGGTGCTGCTGCACTATACTGCGAAGTAGTTTAAGGCCCAATTTCCACTAGTGAAGTCAGCGACCAGATCGGATCACCTGCAGGTAATAGCAGCTTGACCGGACCCAGCCGAGTCTCCCATAGCTAACTGCAGTTACAAGAGTGAATGGGTTCTAAGCCAATTAACAGCAACTTTCATAGAACCAAACCCTAGTAACTAGTTACCCTAATTCTAAAACAACTAAGTGGAACCTTAATATTGAAGTGTATGTAAAGCCAAAGGTTTTATCTTAATGGTTCCATACAGGATACACATTATTATTAGACCATGAATTATACACAGCTACCTTCAGGTGACTGGACACAAGCAACGAATGTGCACAGCCACACCCAAAGTGCAAAGTATAACTGCCCACTGTGTCTGAATCCATTTTTTGCTAGGGTGATGATAGACCTGTTCACTGGAGAATTTTTTTAACCATTCAGTTTTTTGTTTGAAGCTTCTTTCCTGGACTATTTGACAGTTTCTGTGATGGTTACCATTGGTTTGTACATTGGGGACTGTACCCAAACTGTGTGGGGGCAGCCTGGAATGTTTGCTTCGGGCGCTGGTGTTAGGTGTTTACATTGACACATAAAGCAACTCATATAGTTAGCTGCAGGGTGCTATATAGGTTCAGGGTCATGGTCCATTTCCATGGTTCCCAGATCTTAAACACCCCTTATGGGTATGACCACTGTGACGGGCAACCTGAAACTCTCATAGTGTCATAGATACGGTAGGACAAGTTTTACACCAATTCCTGACTTTTCCTAACATAATATGCAGCTTGGCGCATATTATTCCGTTTTACTGGCAGAAGATTTGAGTGTTATTCACTTTATTGTGGTAATCTCTGGCATTTTGTCTGTAATATTTCTTGGCGTGAGCAATTTAAACGTGTGGTTTTCTCCTCCTCCCCAGACTTAGTCTCATAAAGATGAGGTAACTGCATCTCGCCTCTTGGATGATGCCTTCCTGCCTGACTTTTTTGTCAAAAGTACGCGCTTTGCTGCACTCCTGTTGTCATCTACAAGTAAACGGCAGCATGGTCGAGACTTGGGTTATAGCAGCAAAAACATGGTCGAGACTTGGGTTATAGCAGCAAAAACATGGTGGAGACTTGGGTTTATAGCAGCAAAAACATGGTGGAGACTTGGGTTATAGCAGCAAAAACATGGTGGAGACTTGGGTTATAGCAGCAAAAACATGGTGGAGACTTGGGTTATAGCAGCAAAAACATGGTCGAGACTTGGGTTATAGCAGCAAAAACATGGTGGAGACTTGGGTTATAGCAGCAAAAACATGGTGGAGACTTGGGTTATAGCAGCAAAAACATGGTGGAGACTTGGGTTATAGCAGCAAAAACATGGTGGAGACTTGGGTTACAGCAGCAAAAACATGTGGAGACTTGGGTTACAGCAGCAAAAACATGGTCGAGACTTGGGTTATAGCAGCAAAAACATGGTGGAGACTTGGGTTATAGCAGCAAAAACATGGTCGATACTTGGGTTATAGCAGCAAAAACATGGTGGAGATGGTTATAGCAGCAAAAACATGGTGGAGACTTGGGTTATAGCAGCAAAAACATGGTCGATACTTGGGTTATAGCAGCAAAAACATGGTGGAGACTTGGGTTATAGCAGCAAAAACATGGTGGAGACTTGGGTTACAGCAGCAAAAACATGGTCGAGACTTGGGTTATAGCAGCAAAAACATGGTCGAGACTTGGGTTACAGCAGCAAAAACATGGTCGAGACTTGGGTTATAGCAGCAAAAACATGGTCAAGACTTGGGTTATAGCAGCTGTTATATCCAGACATGCACAACCCCATCCATGCTGTACTCCAAAACTGTTAGTACCCCATTGGGGATCCCCTCACTTAGCAATGGAGGGTCACAGGCATAAGGTTGATGGGACAATTCAGATTAGCTTGTGTTCTACAGATGGCCTGCAGGAAACTCTAACCATTGCTCCAGGTGATAGCTGTTTCCTTGTCCTGGAGCAACGTCCTGGAGCAACGTCCTGGAGCAATGTCCTGGAGCAATCTTCTGTTATAACATCACGCCCATTATATTGACTTTAGTACCCTTTCAGGTTATACAACATGTAGCCTGTCTGACAAAAACATATATTCCCGGATCCTGTTCAGGATGCAGAAGCAGAACTTCTTTTCCTTGAGAATATATTGGAGGAAAGTATCGAGGACCCTAATTTTGTTGCACAGGATTTTTGTCATTTTGCTGAGGTAGAAGCTGTAGTTTTACGCCAACGCTCTCTACTCTGGACATGCTAATTGACAAGGTGCACACTAATCTTTGCTTGACAGCACCTGATTCTCCAGTCTAAGCAAGTCCTTATGGGCACCAGAAAGCTAGCCAAGTCCAGAAAGGCTTTTCTAATACATTCACTGATTGTGCACTTTAAGAGGACTGGCCAGGTCCTGAAAGGGTGTTTACAACTCCTAAGCTTTTTGCGTGAGATTTATCCTATTGAAAGGGCTTTTAAAGAAAATGAGCTTTTCCAGTAATGGATCCTGGAATTTAAGTCCTCAATGAACATCTTACAGCACTAACGAGGATGTTCCTTCTTTTATCAATTCTGTTTATAGATATCTGGAAGTCTTCTTAAGGCCTTCTTGCCATTGCAGATTCTGTCCTGAGCCCAGCTATGGCTGTTATGTCCATTTACTAGACTATTGCTAACTGGATGAGACCTGTAAACATAGAACATGACCCTGTCTTGGAGGACCCTTCTCTCTTAGAACACTTACAACTGATGCCATCAACATTGCTGCTTTGTGTTGACACTCTAGAACAGGGGTAGGCAACCTTTGAGCATAGGGGTTGATTTACTAAAGGCAAATAGACTGGGCACTTTGCAAGTGCAGTTACTCTAGAGCTTAATGAATGAAAGGAAGCTGTGCTGACTTCCATCATCCAATCAGATGCAAGCAGAAATGCTGTTTTTTTTTGTTGTTTTTTTTTTCCTTGCTTGTGATTGGGTATTCTTTGCAAAGTGAATCTTCACCTCATTTACTGAGCTCTGGAACAGTTGCACTTGAAAAAAGTCAATGTTACATGTTTTCAAAGAAATTGAGTGGCCACTGTACCACCCTACACTCTTACTTCATCCTGCTATCCTGCTATACACGCTTGCTGCACCACTGTACTTGCTGCCCCCTGCACTCCTACTTCATACTGCTATACACTTGCTGCACCACTGCTATACACTTGCTGCACCACTGTACCCCTGCACTCCTACTTCATCCTGCTATACACTTGCTGCACCACTGTACCCCCTGCACTCTTACTTCATCCTGCTATACGCTTGCTGCACCACTGTACCCCCTGCACTCTTACTTCATCCTGCTATACGCTTGCTGCACCACTGTACCCCCTGCACTCCTACTTCATCCTGCTATACGCTTGCTGCACCACTGCAACCACTGTACCCCCTGCACTCCTACTTCATCCTGCTATACACTTGCTGCACCACTGTACCCCCTGCACTCCTACTTCATCCTGCTATACACTTGCTGCACCACTGTACCCCCTGCACACCTGCTCTGTTGCTGTATCCCCAGCATATCTATTCATCTACTGCACACCAACCTGCACATCTGTTTAGCACTGTATCCCTTGCCCACCTACCCCACTGCTATACCCCCCCCACACCTTCTCCTCCCGCATATCGCTTACACCTCTGCACATCCTGGTGGGTTTTCAAGTAGGTGAAAGGGGAGGAGCCGGATGACGCAGCAAACATTCAGGGCTGGGTTTCCATGCCAGTGACTAAAAAAAAAAAAAAGTGTGGCGCTAGCGAGGTCATTGGAACTGTCCCCAGTTCTGTGAAGTCAGTGTTTGTTACTGAAAAAGGCAGCATGTACCAAGTGTGATTCAGCAAGCCTCTGAAATGTCCCTGATCTGTGTGCACATGTGCGGGGCGTTGTGGCTTAAAAGCATGGTCTGCTTGTTAAAGAAAAAAATGCCCATGTGCCACATCCTTCCTTGAAGGAACATGTTCAAATAGCTAGCATTTTAAAAGTGCTACTATCACACTAGGAGGAAACGTATATTATCGAAAAGAGGGGTATTGTTCCTCCAAATACTGTCTGACTAACACACGTCCTATTTTATTATACCTCCAATGTAATAACCAGAATGTTCTATTCAGGAACAGCCAGCTCACACTTCAGCTCTCCTGCCATTCACATGCCTGCAGTGGAAAATTGCAGATGGACTTCTAAGCCGCCAATAACTAGACCTAGAGTAATGGTCGCTGCACTTTGAGATCTTTCGAACTCTCTGTCAAAGGTGGGGAAAGCCAGAAGTGAACATCCTCGCCTCTGGATTCAACAACAAACTGGACAAACTTGTAGCCAAGCCAAAACTTGTAGCCAGGAAGTTATCCTGTAGCCTTCGCAGCGGATGCTTTAGTAACTCCTTGGGCTCAATTAAAGCTGCTTTTTGCCTTCTCTCTGATGAAGATCTTCCTTTGACTTCTGCACCAGATAGAGGAAGAATGGGTTCTGGTGATTCTAATTGCACCAAATAGGCCCAGAATAACATGGTACCCAGACATAATCAGACTTCTGGTATAAAGACCAAACATACTGGCCACCCTGCTTCTCATTCTCCTCTCTAATGGCATGGTTGCTGAAACCCAAGTCCTAAAGGAGAGTGGCATTTCTGACTTATTCCCACTCGGGGCAAGAAAATACAACTCCCATAAGGACTAACATCTCACATGGAAGCCTTGCTTTGCCTGATGCAAGGACAAGAATCAGAGTACCAAGGAATACTCTATCACCCTTATTCTGGCCTTCAGTCTTGTCCTGACCAGGATCTGGCCCTAAGTACCCTCAAGGGACAGGTTTTTGCTTTTATCCATTTTTTAAGTCCAGGAACCTCTTGCCTCGCAGTTCCTATTCAAGACTTTCTTCAGGGAGTTGCTCATATAAACCCCCCAAATTCAGCCTCCTGTGTCACTTTGGGATCTCAGCCTGGTGCTCTATGAGCTTTAGAGACCTCCCTTTGAACCAACTAGACCTATCCCGTTGGAAGGCCTCTCACGGTTGCTTTCCTGGTAGCCATTACATCTCTTAGGCATATTAGCAGAGTTTTTCTATAAAAAGCACTTGTTTTACACAAGGTCAAAGTGGTTTTGAAACCAAAACCTTCTTTCCTACCCAAGGTGTTCCTTTCTTTCTACTTCAAGGAGTGCATTGTTGTTACTTTTCCTTGTCATGTTTTGGGGCATTGCCTAGATAAGGCAAGGTCTGTCAGAGTCCACCTGAAAGCCACAACCTTTGATCAGGAGTCCTCTTTATTCTGTCTGTGGATCATAAAGGGCATCCTGCTTTATGTTTCACTATTGCTAGATTAATCAGAAAACCCATATCCAAGGGCTTGTGCCCTTTGGGACAGAGTTCCTGCATTGTGCAGATCCAATTCCATCAGGGCTGTTGTCTTTTTCATTTTAACTTCAAGCATTTGCTTGCTCCACTACCTGGTCCTCTGTTCACACATTTTCAAAGTCCTACCAGGTTGATGTTTAGGCCTCGGCTGTTGCAAGCTTCGACCACAAGGCGCTTCAAGCTGTTATTTGAGTGTTTTTTTGTTTGGGTTCCTTAACCTTTTGTTTTCTTGTGGGCTTGTTGGCATTTTGTGTTTGCTTTGTTCTTGCCCACACCTCAGATAATTGCTTGGCACATTCCGAGGTGTAACAATACAAGTCCTGTGCTGTATGATTAAGATAATAGGAATCAGGGTGGATAAAAATCGATAATTTTGTTTTTAAAAATCTGATTTTTTTTTTATTTAAATCTGATTTTTTTTTTTTTGTTTTATCAAATTTATTTAAATAAAATGCTTTTGGAGTAAAAATGTATCTAAAGATAGTTTTCTATTTAAGATACATTAATAATTTAGTTTATTTAGCATGAAATGGAGCTTAGTTATGTAGCATGAGGCTGTATATTCTACAATATTTACATTTTTACTCATTCAATGAATCCAAGCTCTGCAAGCTGAGATAACAACATGCACTACATTGATGCATTCACACCATTTCACAGTAACCGTGAGAAAAAACATGAAATAAAAGCATTGGAGTCGTTCTCCAGCTATGTGTGATTAACCTAAAATTGGTTCTGATTTCGCTCTTTTACTAACCTGGCAGCTTATTATTCTAAAAAGGAAACCTTCATTTGCTTTGCAAATATTAAAGATTCGAACTACCAGCAAGAATGAGTTGGATTCCTTACATTTAAAGAGCACCTGTCATTTTAGATCCATCATGGCAGCGCCTTTTAGAGGGCATCCACTCACCTGCTGCCGCCACGTCCCTCACCTTGTTGTGTCACTGCTGCATCACCAGCCGCCCCATTAAAGTGAATGGGACTGTCGGTGAGTCAACAGCGGGTCAGAGGAGGAGCCGCTGAGGGACAGAGATGACAGTTGCCCTTTCAAGATTGATTTAAATCAAATCCACCCTGATATGAATTTTGATGTTCCTGTAAATTCCTTATCTTAAAGTACAGTACAGGTCACATGCCCTTCTCCTCTTACTCACTTTTTATTGTTTGCTAAAAAATATGGAGTCTCATAAAGTGGGCGGGGTTGTGTGGCGCACTCTGGAGTGGCCCTTGCAAATTTTGTGTACTAGTGCCCATAATTTGAAGGTAGCTGCATAACTCATGGTCTAAAAATACAAGTCCTGAACTTCAAGGTAAGAGATTTACAGGAAAGTCAAGTTTCCTGGTTTTAATTTTGAATAGAGAGTAAAAGTATTAACCTCTTCACGACGGGCGCACCCAAATGTGTGGCCTCCCGGTGTCTGGGCCTAGACGCCAAGTGGCCGCACGTTTGCGTGCAATTAACAAAAAAACATGTGCTGGGAGGGCATACCCTGCGCGCTCCCAGCACACATGTCCGGTACTCACGGAAAGGTCCTGGTCTGCTCTTTTGGTCGGGACCTTTCCCGATCATGTGACCGTCGTGATGATGTGTCACGGCGGTCACATGATCCCTAAACCCCGCCCATCTCTAAACTCCGCCCGTCCCGCCTCCCGGCCTGAAACTCTTAAAGGGCTGGGAGGCGCCGGCGGGAAGGGGTTAAAACCTCAAGTTTTTATTGCTTTTTGTGTCCCTGCTGGGAAAATTTACCTGGAGATCATTTTTTCTCTGGTACTGAAAGCGATGAGAAATAAAAAATCTTAGAGTTGTCACAGGAACATTTGGTGGGATCTTCAAAAGAGGGGCATCTGTGCTCTTCACAGCTGAGAGGAAATTTCCTCTTGCTTTGCGGATTTTCCCTTACCTCCTGTAGTTTCTCTGGGACAGGAAGTGAAGAGAAATATTCCCAAGTGGATACAGCAGATAAAGAAATTATTACTCCTGTCAGTTTGGTTTGTTTCCCTCTATGTTCCATTTTGGAGATTTTCCTTCACTTTCTGTCCCATAGCCCCAGTCCCAGGAAGTGGGAGGAAATCCCTGAGGGAATCCCATGGTTGTCACCAGAGCTAGTGTCCACATTGGAAGATTTCCCCTCTATCCTTCTTGGTGACAGCCTAAAATTTGGAATTTCTTTCCCTTTTGATGGTAACAGGACAATCATAGAGGGCGAATCTTCTTAACGGGACACAGACATCAATAGACACCCAACAGATGTTCTAATTGCTTTCCATGCTATCCAAGACTAAATAAAGTTTGTTCCCTAATCTATCCAAAACCAACAAAAAATATTTTTGCTTCGCATACAGTTTATTTTTTTGTCTATTTGGAAACCTCCCAGCTATGTATTTTTCTAGCCATTTGCCGTTTTATTACCTTAGGAAGTCCCCACCCCGCTACCAAACTGAACCCAATTAAATGCAATCGCAAACATGCACCCAAGTTACTCTGGTACTGAAAATTTCATGTGCCAATAAAATGTATACTTTTAAGTAAAAACTATAGTAATTTTAGTGTAAAAATAATATGAAGTGAGTAATTGGTGGGAAGGAAAAGTCCTTACGCAGAGTACCGTATATACTCGAGTATAAGCCGACCCGAATATAAGCCGAGGTACCTAATTTTGCCACAAAAAACTGGGAAAAACTATTTACTCGAGTATAAGCCAATGGTGTCAGTGGGGGGAGGAATAGTGCCCCATCGTTGGTGTCAGTGGGGGGAGGAATAGTGCCCCATCGTTGGTGTCAGTGGGGGGAGGAATAGTGCCCCATCGTTGGTGTCAGTGGGGGGAGGAATAGTGCCCCATCGTTGGTGTCAGTGGGGGGAGGAATGTCATCGTTGGTGTCAGGGGGGAGGAATAGTGCCCCATCGTTGGTGTCAGTGCCCCATCGTTGGTGTCATGGGGGGAGGAATAGTACCCCATCGTTGGTGTTGGGGGGGGAATAGTGCTCCATCGTTTGGTGTCAGTGGGGGGAGGAATGTGCCCCATCGTTGGTGTCAGTGGGGGGAGGAATAGTGCCCCATCGTTGGTGTCAGTGGGGGGAGGAATAGTGCCCCATCGTTGGTGTCAGTGGGGGGAGGAATAGTGCCCCATCGTTGGTATTAGTGACACCAATGATTGGACACTATTCCTCCCACTGACACCAATGATACTTACCTTGCTGACCCCTGCTCCAGCCTGGGCTCGCTCGCTCCCTCCCTCTCCCATGGTACAGACACTTACCGGTCAGATGTCTTCCTTCTCCGGCCGCTCTCCTCCTCTTCACTCGCTCGATCTTCGCGGTGCCGCTCGGCTCCTCCTCTCCAAGCTCCACCTCCTCGCCGGTGATTGGGCGCCTGTGTGCCTCTCCTGAGCTACAGTTCCGGCGGCCAATCACCGGCGAGGATTGATCCCGGGGGTGTGTCCAGATGACAGGGACGGCATGTCATCCCGCCCACACCTGGAGACGTTGACTCGAGTATAAGCCGAGGGGGCCGTTTTTCAGCACAAAAAATGTGCTGAAAAACTCGGCTTATACTCGAGTATATACGGTACTTGTTATGTGAACTTTATGGTCATTTTGTGTAATGTAGTATTTGATTCTTTATTTTATACTATATCCCTTTACTGTTCCATTCAGGAGCATCGTATGGATGAAGGTATTCAAGAGGAAGGAGCAGATGATGTGGCAGATGAGGCTGCGGCTCCTCATCCAGGAATTGTGGCATCAGCTTGGTCATTTATAACCACGTTTTTCACCTCCCTTATACCTGAGGGACCCCCACAAGTAAACTAGATCTGAGACTGCTAACTGCAGGTTCTTGCAGGAAAAAAAGATTTCAAAATCCACTTGTGCAATCTCAATTTCTGTCCTGTTTCGGAATTATTTTTAAAGCAGTATCTATTGCTTGACTCCCTCAGTATTATTAATATTTTAAGCACAAAAATTATTTTTCTTTGTTTACTCATTTTTTGTAGTCCTCTTTGTCAACGAGAAATAAAGCTACACGTCTTCCATTATTTTAGTTTTGAATGAACAGAAAGTTTCTGGAGTGATACTACTAGGTGATGCTTGAGAGTTTTTTTTTTTTGTATTGAAGCCTAACCACCCTAAATCTTGTTGATACATTTCTTTTGAATATTTTTCCTCCAAATGAAGCGAGCAAATACACATTTAGTACAAAATATTGATAGTTGCGGTGCAAAGTCAGAAGAGAGCCCGGCAATTGCATTTTTTTTGGCTAAGACCTCGATCAGAGAGGATACCTGTTTCCTGTGGACAGGTGATTGCAGCACGCTGTGGTCATGTGATCATGCTAAGCTTGTATGTTGAAGTCGATAATTTCTCACATGTTTTAACTTCAGCTATATAGATATGGTCATTTTATTTCAATTTCATTAGTTTAGAAGATGGTAGAAAACTGGAAAGCCAATTTACCTAATTACAAAATCCCATTTGACTGAATATTTAGTTTTAACTTTTTATTTTATTTTTTTACATAATGACATTTCCTTTGAAAGATTGTAGATCATGTGTTCCTGTGTGCACAGGTATTGTTATAGTTATCTCAGTGAATCTGTAAGAAATCGCAAGGTCAATATTCCAAGGGCCTGTATTGATGGGCTTTTTGTGTTTTACTCCTCAAATGTATAGGAATGTAAAAGGAGTTTGAGGCACATCAAGTGTGCTTGTCAGTGAAATGTGAAGAATCTCAGAAGCATCTCAAGCTGCATTTACTCATTCGCATTAGCCCAAACCCTGTCAATACAGACTCAGAATCCTTTAGTGGGGACAGCTATATTCTGAGGACAGGACTTTCCTATATACTCATAAGTGAAGAATATGGGAAATTAAATGGAGTTTTAGTTTTCCCTTTTAGTTTCAGTCTGATATAAGGATTGCATAATAACACATGCAGTTCCGTTGTTTAGGGGAGAGGAGTGATAATTGGCGTGTCGTATTTCATATGAAATGTTTACCTGAAAACTAAAAGTGATAACAAATCTGGATATTGGGCTGGTACTTTGCAAGGATTCTGTAAAGAGGCGGTGGGAAAATTCAGTATTTTGTTTCCTTCTGCTTTTTAGGCCTCGTTCACGCTATATGTGCACAAAAACTGCGTAGATTTCACTTGCAGATACACATTGCAGATTCCTAGGCAGATTATTTTCTGCGCATGATGCTAGTGTTGTGGTGTGAACAGGACACATAAAGAACAAAAGATTTTGTTTTGCCCTTGCAGAACGTGTGCAGAAAAACTGAGGTCTGTGCACTATGGTGTGAATGAGCCCATAAAGCACCCAACAGAGCAATGTTTGGCTTCCTGACTCCTTCCCTCTTCCTCTCCCACAACTGGATAATTATTTGACTAAAGTGAACATACCATGAGGCAGTGGGAAGTGCTAAGCTTTACTGATGGGGACCTGTACGCCATAGGATTCCACACTTGCATTGATGTGTTGCAGGCCTTTGGGGCCCAGCAGGTGTCAAGATCCATAATACCAGTGCTCTGTGTGCATGTGCTGAAAGCCTCTGTACAGATGTCCTCCGGTCCCTGTCAGGTTCTGAACACCTGGCACAGGCCTATTTGCGCATGCACAAGAAATTCAAAGATGGAGCCGGAGAGCGGAGCGAACTTTTCAGGGGATTGCAGTTCCTCTTTAAGCTTGGAAGTGTACATCATCCCCATTCCCCAGAAAAATACACAATGTGCTCAGAGGCTGGAGAACTAACTGGCTTCTACAAACTGCACGGGGTAGGAGGAAGTGGGCAGGTAACCCAGAAACTACAGGTCCAACCTTTTTTCCTGTCTGCATGTCCCTGCAAAGGTGACGAGGGGGAGCTGGGACAGGGGTGCAGTGGTGGGACATGCCGTGGCAGAGGTGCCAGTTGGCAGAAAGGTGTAGTATCTGGTATAGTAGGTGTCAGGGGAGCTGGGACAGGGGTGCAGTGGTGGAAATGCAGTGGCAGAGGTGCCAGTTGGCAGAAAGGTGTAGTATGTGGTATAGTAGGTGTCAGGGGAGCTGGGACAGGGGTGCATTGGTGGAACATGCAGTGGCAGAGGTGCCAGTTGGCAGAAAGGTGTAGTATCTGGTATAGTAGATGTCAGGGGAGCTGGGACAGGGGTGCAGTGGTGGAACATGCAGTGGCAGAGGTGCCAGTTGGCAGAAAGGTGTAGTATCTGGTATAGTAGATGTCAGGGGAGCTGGGAGGCAGGGAGAATTAGAGTGGAGTTCAGTTGTAGGTGTGCTGCCCGGCAGGGCGTTGGTAGATAGGTGGAGTGTCTAGGGTGTTAGGGTGTGTTGTGTCGGGTGCAGTAGAGGTCATTGGTGGGTGTGCTGGGTTCTTCAGTGGCCTGAATGTAATAGCAGTTTTTTTAAAATTTCCATTGCCATGTATTTTCAGCCCACTGGTGATTCTTGTATGCAATAGTGAATAACAATGGCATTATGAAGGGTGTCTTACTATTTTTATCTGCAAGTCATGTGATGTGTGGAATTTGAGGGTTTAGGAAGGGGCTTCCCAAATGTCAGGCAGTTTATACCCTCCATATGTTTTAGGAAACTCCCAGCTTCTTAAAGCTGAGCTGCTGTATTTTATGTTTGAGATCTTAGCAAATATATTTTAAAGCAGATCCAGAGTATAACACATTGGTGCTTTTATTGAAATAATTGTCATGCAATTTATTGAAAAAATCCAGATATGTGAAGATTGCTGCAGTTTGGAGGAGATCAGCAGTGCTGTCACTTAAGGCCGGGTCCACTTTAGGGGTAGAGTAGATAGTGAAGATAACACATTTACTAATTTCCTCAAGTTTTTAAGATTCTTATTGAATATACACGATTTGTTATCTACAGAGGACGTCCTACCATCCAGTACATGATGGTCTTTGCTTTTATAGGGTAATGTACATTGATATGACAAACACAATTAACAAAATATTTAACATGAAATGCTTTAAATACAGTGTTCTTGTGAACACCGTAAACGGTGATCTATTGAGATGAATGTAAATAGTAGACTGTATAAAGCAAGCAGTATAGACATAGTCAAGGTTATTCCAGGTGTTTTGAATATTTCCGGTTTCAAGTATTCTTGCGAATATCTGTGTATTACAACTTAGGATGTATTCAATTGCTAATTGGTCATTATAGACACATTTTATTCCTTTTCTATCCGCTGCTACACACCTCTGGATATTTGTATAAATTTATGTTTAGGGCTTTATGCGCCCAGCAAAGAATGCCCAGAGTACAATAGTTTGTGCCCAGGGATGTATGTCCTAAATGCAAGAACTCTGCAATGTCCATACAGTGAAGGGCATTGTCCATCCCCATCTAGCCGCAGCAGCTGTCGCTGTCCTAGAGTTTGACAGACTGCCTGCAGCAGGGCTGGATGGGATACCTGTGCCCTCCACCTGCCGCTAAACACCGTATCCCATCAGGGCTAAACGTGCAGCTCGCATGGGGCCTAAAGGTGCATCTCTATGAGTGACACTTGGAATGAACAAGGATCTACAAAACTCATTATTCCTATGCATTTAGCAGTTCACCTTTAAAACATGAAACTTTTCTTAGTGCACAATTTTTGTACAAATGTAGAATTCCAAGCGAGTTGTACATTTCCATTCTCCTGTTAAATTAAATACACGTATGTGATCAGAGCTGGCCTTAGACAACAGTGAATGGGCACACATGCAAGCACTTTCCTGCTGTCTAAAAATGTTTTAGATACAAAAAAAGAACACCAGAGGACACACTCTGAATGTAATATTAAAAACACATTTATTGGTAAGTGAACAGACAAATGTCAACTCACATATTTAAGAAAAGAGCTTCTCATATGGCCTCCACAAGGCATGATGTCCCTCTCAGGGATGGCAATGAAGGATCCAGACCAGAAAGTGGAAGACGCCATTTCTGGCTGGGTATGCCTGAGATGTCAGAAGCTTCATACAGCATGGGAGACCATGGAGAATATCACATTCTAGGAGGAGTGAAGGGGTTGTGGCCTGTGCATTGCAAGGCTGTCCAGCCTCTTTACAAGCCACGCCAACATCACACCTCCCAGCATGGAACATCATTCTCCACTGTCTACCATGCTATCTGAATCTTCTGACATCTCAGGAAAAGACAACTGGAGGCTGTATCATCAACTTTCTGGTCTGGATCCTCCATTGCCATCCCTGAGAAGGCAGATCATGCTCGGCTGAGGCCGTATGACGGGCGATTTTCCTAATATAGGTTAGTTGCCATTTAAGTGCTCACTTTACCATGAAATATTCCTTTAACACTTCAATAAGGAGTGCACCCGTTGGTGTTCTATTTCTGTATCTGTTGAGATAGATTTCTTCAGTCTCTGAGGCGGTGCCAAGAGTGTATTGAAACAACATGGAGTGAACCCTTTGGTGTATCAAACATTCAAACATAGACTTTAATGGACTCCTGCCTTGTTTTCATTTACTTTGATCATGTTAAGCATATAATACACTTCTCTTGCTCCATTTTTTGTTGTTTTTTCAGCAAAGAATGATTTGGATCTAGCTTCAGGCATATAGATTAATAAGCAGGTCTCCCGAGTGTTCCCGTATAATGTTGTCTAGTGGAGAAGAGAAGGTCACTTGTACTTTGCTCCAACATTATCTCAGGGATGGACTCACTATTTGCCCCCAGAGTTTCTGCTGGAAGTGTCTACCAATGCTCAGAAACTCAAGATGGTTGTTTGGTCAGACTGACCAAAACTATCTAGTGTCAATGGCCAACTTTGGGGCCTTTTCACACCAGTCCGCAACCCAA